GCGATGTGACCACTTTCTCACCTGAGTTCAGCCAAGCCATCGCCGAGATCGATATCGCCCTCGGCGCTGAGATCCCTCGCTACATGGTTCCCTCAGCCTACATTCCTCTTCGCAAGATGCCGTCTCTCGTCTCTGGCAAGATTGACCGCAAGAAGCTTCGTGAACTCGGTGCTTCCATGACCCGCGAGCAAGTCGCCCGCCTCCGTGTCGCTCCTACCGAGAAGAGCGAACCCGAGACTGAGATGGAGAAGGCGCTGCAGCAAGTCTGGACAAAGATTCTCGGTGGCGACGCCACCATCGGCCTGCACGACAGCTTCTTCGCGCTTGGAGGTGACTCCCTGAGAGCGATGAAGCTTGTCGCTGCTGCCAGAGAAGAGGGAATCGCTCTTACTGTTGCGACCATCTTCAACTTCCCTACGCTTAAGGAGATGGCCCAAAACGCGACGAAGGTCTCCAAGGATGACGATGTCGCCATCGCTCCTTTCTCTCTCCTTGAAGAGGGATGGACCCCTGAGGATGCCCGCGCTGACTCTGCCAAGCTTTGCGGTATCGAAGAGTCTGCCATCGAGGACATATATCCCTGCACGCCCCTTCAGGAGGGTCTGATGGCTCTCTCTGCCAAGGTCAAGGCGGCATACACTGCCCAGAGAGTCGTCGATCTTCCTGACGCCGAGACTGCAGACAGACTTCGCAAGGCCTTTGACGTCGCTTCCGCAGACTGCCCTATCCTCCGCACCAGAATCGTCCAGGTTCCTGGTCGCGGCCTTGCTCAGGTCGTTGTCAAGGAGGAAATCTCCTGGTTTGTCGGCGACGACCTCCAGGACTATCTTGTCAAGGATCGCGATGAGTCCACAGATCTGGGCAAGCCTCTCGTCAGATACGCCATGATCACCGACAAGGAGACTGGAAAGGTTCACTTCGTCTTGACCATGCACCACGCTCTGTACGACGGCTGGTCTATGCCTTTGGTCGTCGAGAAGGTCAACAAGGCTTTTGACGGCAAGGAGATCAAGCGTCCTTCGGAGTTCAAGGACTTCATCAAGTACCTCAACGGCATGGACCGCGCCGCTGGCGAGACTTACTGGCGCGAACAACTTCAAGGAGCCACGGGCACTCAGTTCCCTGCTCTGCCTTACGAGGGCTACCAGACCCAGGCCGACTCTCTGCTTGAGGTCTACGTTCCCCTGACTGGCCGCCCGGCTTCTAACGTTACCGTTGCAACTGTCATCCGCAGTGCGTGGGCGTACGTTGCCTCCCACTACACTGGATCTTCAGATGTCGTCTTTGGTGAGACGCTCACTGGACGTAACGCTCCTATTAGGGGTGCTGAGGAAATTGAGGGTCCCATGATTACCACCATTCCCTTCCGCGTCCAGGTCAACGGTGAGACTTCCGTCAACGACTTCCTCCACGATATTCAGGATCAGACCGTCCAGCAAATTCCTTACGAGCACACTGGTTTGCAGCACATTCGCCGTCTCAGCCCTGATGCCCTCGAGGCTTGTGAGCTCCGCACTGGTATCGTACTCCACCCCAGCGCCGATGACCTCGACCAGGAGGAGTTCAACAAGTACCCTGCCAACCGCCTGGTCCCTGCCGGTGACGCCGAGGCCGCTCAGGAGGCCCTCAAGTTCAACACCTACGCACTCATGTTGGTCTGCTCTACCGATCCTAAGGGCTTTTTGGTGATGGCCAGTTTCGATTCCAAGACTGTTGGCAAGCCCTTCATGGAGAAGGCCCTGGCTCAGTTCTCCCAGGTGGCCCAGCAAATGTGCCAGCTTACTGACACCCCCCTCGCTGACGTTAAGTACCTTACACAAGAGGACCAGACTGAAGTGTCACGCTTGAGTACCGAGGGCCTTTCTGCCGTCAAGGCGGAGTACCCTGAGGCTGAGGCCGCATGGATTGTCAACCCCAGCGACTCTACTCTTCTTACGCCTCCCGGAGTCGTTGGTGAGCTCGTTGTTGTCAGCAAGATCGAGCTGACACTTCCCACGCTCGACCAAGCCTCGTGGGCCGAGAAGACAGATGGTGCCAAATTCTACAAGACTGATCGTCTTGCCAAGTTCAACCCTGATGGAACCATCGAGTATGCCGGAAAGAAGAGCGACCTCAAGAAGACTGTGGTCGCACCCAAGGCTCCTACGAAGCGCATCTCTGCTACGTCTTCCAAGCAGAGACGCCTGAGATCTCTCTGGAGCCGTGTCCTCAAGCTCCCAGAGAATGATATCGGTCTCAACGACAGCTTCTTCAGACTTGGTGGTGATTCCATCGGTGCCATGAAGCTCGTCTCCGAGGCCCGCCTGGCCGGCCTTACCCTGACTGTCAACCAGGTCTTCTCCAAGAGGACACTTTACGACATGGCCTCCGTTCTTCAAGACTCGGAGCCTACACAGAGCTCGGAGGAGACAAAGGCTGTCGTGCCTTTCGAGTTGCTGGAGAATCCTGGTGTCGATGTGACTGAGAGCCTGCGCCCCCTGCTGGCTGACCAGTCATGGAAGATTGTCGATGCCTTCCCTGCTAGACCACTCCAGGAGGTCGCCGTTAAGGGAACTATTGAGATCCCCAGATTCTCCGCACGATACGAGGCCATGTACTTCGAGAGCGATGTTGACCGCCCGCGTCTTTTCCAGAGCTGCCAAGAGCTGGTCTCCCGCAACGAGGTCCTTCGCTCGGTCTTTGTCCAGCACAACGGTACCTGCGTGAGCGTCGTCCTCGAGGACGTCAAGACTCCTGTCGAGGTGTACGAGATCGACGGAGACGTCGAGGCCTTCACCCACCAACTCTGCAATCTCGATGTCCAGACTCGCATGCCCCTCGGCTCCATCTTCGTCAAGTGGTTCTTCGTCCACAGCATCAACGGCCAATCAGCCTTAATCTTCCGCGTCTCCCACGCCCAGTACGACGAGATCTGCTTGCCTTTGATGCTCCACCAGCTCTCCGCGTTGCACGAGGGCAAGCCCGTCCCCAAGGCCCTCCCCTTCTCTTCCTTTGTCAGCCACGTCGTGAAGTCCAACATCCCCCAGAGCATCGACTACTGGAAGGACCTTCTGCAGGGCTCCTCCGTCAACGTCCTCAAGCCCGATACCCCCGTCACGGAGAGACAGCACTACGCCATCGACCGCACCTTCGACATCTCCTCCCGCTCCAAGGACGTCACCATCGCCACCCTTCCCACCGCCGCCTGGGCCCTCACCCTTGCCCGCCTCCAGAACACTCGCGACGTCACCTTTGGCGAGGTCGTCAGCGGCCGCAACATTGACTTCCCCAACGCGGACATGGTCGTCGGCCCTTGCTGGCAGTACGTCCCCGTGCGCGTCAAGTTCGAGGACGACTGGACCGTCCTCGACCTGCTCAACCTCGTGCAGGAGCAGCACATCTCCAGCTCGGCGCACGAGGGCATCGGCCTCAAGGAGATTGCGAAGCTGTGCACCGACTGGCCCGAGTCCGTGGACTGGTTCGACACCGTGGTGCACCAGGACGTCGATCACGTCGAGACGCTCGGCTTCTCGTCGGCCAGCAGCAGGATGGAGACCATCTACCCGCACCAGGAGCCGCTGCGCGAGTGGAAGATCCAGGCCTTCCCCCAGGGCGACAAGCTGACCATCGAGATTGTGACGTTCGAGTCGTGGAAGGGACATGCCAAGGACCTGTTGGACAAGATCGAGGAGACGTTTAAGGTGCTCATGGGAAACCCCGCGGCGCCGTTGTTTGAGCAGTAGAAATTGGTGGATATTGTACATGTCTTTTCTTGTGCTGACACTGCATGGAGGATTGTGATGAAGTTTGTTGAAAATACCATAGGTGGATGATAAATTGGCTTGGAAAAGGTATAATGTTTTGCATGTCTCGAATTGGAGTTTTTGTATTTGAATTCATTATATCCTACGTCTGATTGTGTTTGCAGAACTCATGGTGTCGTCGCCCGTTGTATTACTTGCCGCTATTTCTCTCCAGTCTCTGTCTCCTTTCCCCTGTTCTGCATTTGGACTCTTGCTTCCTTACTATGCATGTAAGGAGCTCTAAGACCTGGTGTGATCCCAATAGGCAATACCATTTCACACTCAACAACCTTCAAAATAGGCCTGTCATTTAGCTCCTGCCGCCGTCATGTTTTGTTCTCGTGTCAGTGAGGCAACTTTCATCACGGACCAACATCTGCGAAAACATCCCACTCTCTGCATTAAAGTAGCCGAACCAGGCAGATAACAAAAGCGCCCGCGGTCCCGGTTGCTGCTTAGCCATCTTTGGGATCCTGACAGTTGCTCATGAGTTTGCCAATCGGAACCCTCGATTCTGTTTGTACAGCCTCATTCCCCGGTAGACATGCAAAAAGGGTGTCAGTTTCTTCGTCCACACAATTAGGGTGGAAGGCGGCTTGGCCTCTCGACCTATCACGGACATCGACACTCACCGACTAGCAGCATCAACATTACCGCCCTGCTCAGGTCCTATACCTCGCCGATACTGTGTTAAAGCAGCGACGGGCTTCCTCCCAGAAAGAGATAAGCATGGTGTCCTCCCCTAACTCGCCTCTTCATCAAAAGCAGCACCAGCAACACCTTCGTCTCTCGCACACAGCTCTTCACAACCTGATTTTCACTCGCCGCTTCAACGCACCACACCAACCGATAACTTCCGTCACAATGTCTGACTTCTTCAACTCCACCGACCTCGACAAGTACCTCGTCGAATGGGAGAGCGACTTCCACGCCACTGACATGGGCTTCATGGATCTTGTCGACCCCATTGGCTACGAGGGTGGCCACGTTGATGACAGCGGTCCTGGCCCTGCAGCGCCCCTGGATCCGTGAGATTCTTTTTTTTTTACCACTTGCTAACAAAAAGGGTGTCAGGAGGAATGCCTCATACCCAATACCAAGCTGCCCTTCCATGAGTGGAGACTGGCTGTAAGTCAACTTATCATACCTATGTGCTACTATCCAACCATCTTACTCATGTGATAAAGCAGTTCGGGTATGGACCATGTCTCCTTTCCGATGCAAATCGGAGAGGAGATTCATGATGTCTCTGCTGGGCTTCAATATCCAACTTCGTCAGCCTCACATGGGAGTGATTCCCTTGTGGACGCCACGCCTTCATCGAAGGCCACATGTGTGGAGTGCGGCTACGTCGAAAATGGTATTTGGAGCCTCAAAGACCACGCAAGACAGCTACGTCACGAGATATACAGGTGCAACGCCGCTAGATGTGAGAAGCGATTCGCTACTGAGGCCGAACGAGACGCTCACCAGCGCAGGCCTCATCTCGAAGGTCATCGGCGCTCAGAGACAAGCCATCCGAACTCTTGTGCAGAGTGTAGAAAAGAGTTTAAAAGTCGGGCACAACTGCAGCAGCATGCCATCGAAGCACAACACACACCATTTGCCTGTGTGTGTGGCAAAGGATTCGCACGGCTAGATGTCCTCTATCGACACCTTGACTCCTTCGGAAACCAAATGCCGAAATATCCATGCCAATTCTGCAAGAAGCACCGCGGCAAGAACGGGTTCAAGAGAAGGGACCACCTGGTTCAACATATCAGGGGATATCACAAGTTTGAGGCCGAGGAAAAGCTTGGCGATACCCTGCCTTCTCGTCGTGGCAAGTATGGAATTCCTCAAGTGTGTCCTTACCCAGGATGCGAGTTCCATCGAGGAGATTCCTTCAAAGAGCTCAGTGCAAAAGAGCAACGCTCATCCAAACCCTTCAGTACGCAGGCCGAGTACACTAAGCACATGAAGGAAGCTCATGACTTCACTCCATTTCCCTGCAACGTTGCCGGGTGTGTCAAGACCGGGAAGAAGGGCTACAGTCGGGAGAAGGATCTTATCAATCACCGGAAGAAAGAGCACTCTGAGGCAGCTCCTTATGTGCCAAAGCCCCGGGACGTTCGCATTGCTTGTCGATTCCCGGGATGCGGTGCTCTCCTGGGGCCCAACAGCCTGCATTGGCACCCACACAAGGGCTGGTACTGATGGGAGGAGGCTTTGCTGGAAGTGCGAGAAACACCTGATCGAACTAAGGGTCCAGCCGTGTAAAAAATACGGGCCGGATGTTTTCCTCTTTTTGTTGACCAAGTTGCAGAGTTTCCTTTTCTTGCCTCTTTCACTCTCATCCAGCCTGCTCACCCACTCATTTTACAACGTCATTCTTTGAGCTGTGTCTTGTTCGAGTCGTCTTTGTCTTTTGACTCTGCTCGTAGGTGTCATGATATATTCATCCACCATCTCAATGTTTGGTTGGTTGCGACAAGACGATTGCCTCGTGTCTAAATTGACAAAACCTGAAGATTTTGTATCTCAACTACAAGTTGTGATGTATAAGCTCATCATTGGTTCCAATTGAAGTGATTGAGATTTTGACATCATTCCTGGGGGGATGGTGTTATTGGAGCTGCACGATCGTGATCAAAAACTCGAATTCGCCATCTATTTAACGTCTCGGAATCTTTGTAGGCATGTCAGTATTCAACTGGGTATTGTAGCCAAACGCCGCCACCCCAACCGGCCCCAGTAGAGTCCAGTCCCACCCAATGTCACCTGGACATATCCATATCCTGAACCCCCATGTCCATGGCCTGCAAAACGGACTCCGCGTAATCTCTATTTGGCGCTGAAAGTAACAACTTATCTTGATAGTAATTCTCCCCTTCCCACGCCTTCGTCCTCGGTGCTGGATCCGACGGATACAAGGCACCCACGGTCTTGGGCATAGATTTATACCGTTTACCGGTGTCGTCAACCCATGTGAGAGCCTCTGCACGGGGGTCTCTTGTGGGTTCGCTGTAAAAGTCGGCGGGCGATTCCCACTCGGGGTCGTTGAGTAAAAGGCGCGCAACGTCGGTGCGGTCGTTCAGGAGTAATGCCAGGCGTGGTGCCGCGAGTTCGTCTGCCCAATTCTCGCCCAAGTACTTTGCAATTCCTGCAATTTCTCGGTCCGCGATACCATCGATCCACCATAAATTCTGTACTGACTTCATAAACATGAGGTAGTGTGCCAAGATGACCAAAGCCCGAGGCCGTTTTTGCCGACCCAGTTCGACAAAACCTTTCGGTATAAACGTGAACCATGTCACAACACGAAGGGTCATGATTGGCCCGAAGCCGTGTACGAGCTCGGAGTAGAGTGAGCCCAGGTACTTGAGCGTGTCGTAGTAAATTGGCACATCTTCGTAGTCCGGATCGCCGGGCTTGATCGATGAGATCATGAAAAGTAGACTGTTTGGAATGTGCAGCGCGGCCTTGTCGAGGTCGATTGGCGGCCGGAAGAAGAGCTCAGCCATGCCCGATTCCCAGACCGTCTGCGGAGTGGCCATATCGATCATGAGACCGATGCCGCGCCAGACTATCATCCAGTCGATGATGTATAAATCCTTGGTGCCTTCTTCGCGGAACATTTGCGATGATAGGGCGGTAAGAAGAAGTGAAGTGGCGATGAGAGCGGGGAATGTTTCCGGCTTGAATTCTTCGACGGCTTTGCGGTACCCCTCGAATGCGCGGGCCCGATAACGCAATGCTCGTGAGGGAGCGATGTCTTGTCCGAGATGCTGGAGCTGGAGTGCCGACGTGCCCAGAAGACAGTCCATGAGGAATGGGCTCTCAAAAGCGTGTGCGGGGATTTTGATCTTGAGGATGTCGTCGATCCGCTTCACTCGTCCGGCCTGCGTGGCGAAGGAGCTGAAGGTATTCGTGGTATAGAACCATAGCAGCTTCATATCGATGGCGTCATGCTGATTCGAGGCAATGTACATTGGCTCCTTGACGACCATCGCGTTAAAGTCCTCATCGCCGCTCTGGCCCGGCGTGTGGGCACGCGATGAGCTTGAGCCGGAGGTGGATGAGGGAGACCCCGGAGCGTGGTCGCCGTGGGAGTGGGCCGGTCCGGGGTAGACGCATTCGGCTTTGCGGAGCACGCAGTTGCGACACGTCGGGCGAGCCTCATCGCACTTGACCTTGCGGGTCTTGCAATTCCGACAGCCTGTTCTCGACTTCTTGTGAGGCCGTTTTGAGTGGTACGGCTTGTCCTCCGGTGGGGAGCCCCCAGAGGATGAGGTGTTGTTCGCTTGTTCGGGGTTTGAGAGGACAGTCATCGTGTCATTGAGTGTCCTTTGGTGGCTCTAATGACCGGCTGACTACGTTACCCCAGGAAGAAGGAGATAAGCTTGTTTGAGTGAAGGGGGGTGGGCTGCTGACGGACGGGTGAGAGGGAGGATGAAGGAAGAAGAAGCTCGGCAGTGGCGATGAATGTTTTGGTAATGAGGATAATGTGAAGTCGGAGGTGCAGGAGGAATGCTCGGGCCTTCTTTTACAGGGACGCTGTCAACGGCCGGACGGCAGAAGAGCGTCGTCGGAGTTGAAACAAAGTTCAGTGAGTGGGTGACGTTGCTGACGGAATGAGACGCCCAGCGATCGGATGAAGGGCCATAAAACACGTCCTCCTTTGCGTTGATTAGTCGCCCGCTAGTCCGCGACTAAGGGCCTTTTTGATCCAGGAGAGTTGCAACGGTGGAACTGCCGAGTACCAGAGAGGAGAATCTTCAAGTACGTGAGTGGTTGTGAGGCCTCACGAACAATTCAAATAAGTATGTGCTGTGTTGTTGTGGTTTGAGAGTAGCGGCCGGAACCCGATGTTGGCTGAGTTCACTGCCACAATCATGGATGCGTGTGAATCACCCGCCGTGACCCCACTTGGAGCTGAGCTCAACCGTGACCGCAGGATAGGTAAGACTTGCCGGTAGAATTGACAGTTGATTCTAGTGCTGGGTTGGGGAAATCCTTCGTAGGAGTACGGCGTCACAAGTGCCAAGGGAAACCGATGTGAGCCAAGCAAAGACAAGCAGCTCACTCTCTATCGCATCACACGTACGGCGGGTACGTGGACACGCCAGGCAGAACAACAGGAACGACAGCAGCGATATAAGAGGGCTGACGCAGCTGGCGTCTGCCAGCCTGATTCGAGCAATCCATCCTTCATCCATCCATCCGTCTCCCTCGAGATCAAGCAATGACACCAACCATCTGCGCCCCTCCCTCCCTCATGCGCCCCCTTCCTTGCACGTTGTTCCATATCGGGGATTTTGGCAGCATGGTTTGAATTCGGCGAGAGCACGTTTGAACTTTGGGACGCTTGTGAGGGGCGGGTGGCCAGGCAGGCGGGCTGGGACACCTGGAGCTGGTGGGGAGCCCCGGCACAGCTGTTGAGGGGACGCTTGGGCCGTATCACGGGCTTGGCCAGAGCTTCGCCCGAAGGCGGTTAGAGAGATGCGCCGCTGCTCCGGCTCTCCTCCACTGGCTCTGAGGCAGAGCTCCACACTGCTTCCAGCTTAGGAAGTGGAGCCGCCATAGTGTGCGCATCATGTGACTGCGCGTCTCAGATTGGTTCTTCCGTCTGAAAGGTACGCGACACCCCGTATTCTCGGCCGACACTCCGATTGTTTCCCTTCGGATCATAGCTTGTGACAGCCGCAGCACGCGTAGAGTTCGAGAAGCAGGAGGCGGTGTCGGTGCTGGTGCTTCATGCAGACATGGGCTCACTCTTTCAGCTTCCAGAGGAGCTTTTGCTGTCGCCTCTGTTCGAGCGCTACCCCTGTCGCGAACAGCAGATTCGGTCTCTGGCCACTCTCCTCCATGTAAGTCTTCAATGCGCCTCCATACCATTCACAAGATCTCAAGCTCATGGATACTCCTAGCCTACCGCAGCGCCTTGCCAGAACCTGGTGGTATACGGCACCGAAGCTACTGGCAAATCGGCCGTCATAGAGTCACTTCTCCAGAGTCTGTCCGAACCCCCGAACGACGATTCGCAAGAGGAATCCTCTCTCAAATATGCTATCGTCAACTCCGTACAATGTATCACTGGACGACATCTATTCGAAAGGACCGTAGGCGCGGTCGTGGACGCGATAAAATGGGAATCGCCCCCGAAGAAGTGCGAGTCGCTGGCTCAATTGACCGTCGAGCTCTGCAAGATGCTCAAATACACCGAGAGGCCTGAAGGTTGGAGACTCGTACTTGTCTTTGACTCAATTGACCGCCAAAGAGATGCCCCGGGCACCCTTCTTCCCGCACTGGCAAGATTATCTGAAGTAGTCAGTCTCTAAGAGCCTCTCACTATCTACTACGCGCAAGCTAACATCCTGCCCAGATACCATGCCTGACGTGTGTCTTCATCGTCACCGCACCAACTCCCTTCTTTCTGCGCTCCTCCTTCACACCACATATTCAGTTCCCGAACTACACCAAACAAGAATTCGTAAAGATTCTTTCCATAACCCCACCGCCCCCGACCCCGACCACAACGCAAGACGACACAAATTTCCTCTGGACGCGCTTCTGCGGCGCCGTCTGCGATGCGCTCACAACCTCCGCGGCCCGAACACTGCCCTCGTGTAGACACAGCTGCGAGGCCCTCTGGCCACGATTCGTAGCCCCTATCCTGGCAAGGACTCACGGCCCCCGCGAGTTCTCCAAGCTCCTCATCGCCTCCCGCGTGCACTTCCAGGATGAATCTCTCCTGAACCCGGGCATCGTTTCTATCAGACCCGGAGCCACGACATCAGGACCAGCTGTGAATGGCAGTGGCGCGCCCCCGGGCACTCCCTCAAAACATGCCGCTCAGCAGGTGCCGAACCCCCCGACGACGGACCTGACGACGCTGCTACCCACCACGGCCCGTCTGCTGCTTCTCGCGGCATACTTAGCCTCCCACAACGCCGCGAAGCACGATTTAGTCCTCTTCTCGACCTTCCACCACGGCCGCAAGAAGCGTCGCGGAGGCGGTTTCGTAGCTCCGAAGCGCGGACGCCCCAGCAAACACCGCAAGATCTCGCGGAAACTGCTTGGTGCGCATGCTTTTGTACTAGAGCGCATGCTGGCCATCTTTGCGGCGTTGCGAGCTGAATGGGCTGCTGATAGCATATTTGGCAGTGGCTCCGCGAGCGTCGTGGACGGCGATGTCGGCATGGCGCTGTCTACCCTCGCTAGCTTGAGGTTGCTGATGAAGGTCGGCACGGCTGGTGATCCCATGGACAGGGGCGGCAAGTGGAGGATTAACGTAGGATGGGATATCATCAGGGGCGTAGGGAGAAGTCTGGGTATTGAGGTCGAAGAGTGGCTCATCGACTGAGCTGTTGAACATTCACCATAGACACATTAACATGAGATATGATACGATCATTCGTCCCCAGTTCCATCACGATACATTATAGATTGTAGTGCCAGACCAAACTTTGCGCTCATTTCGGGTTTCCGGGGTATCTGCCCAACATCATATCGCCAACACCTCGCGTCTAGCTGCGATGATCCAGCGCATCCACAGACGATGTAGCGCGGACGCGTGACCCACGGGATCCTCAGAGTCCTCAAGCAAGAGCGCCATGAATCTTGTAAGCCAAACGCCAGAGCCCTGTCTATATACCTTAACCCCCCACCCTCGCCTCTTGTCCTCGCTCTCTGTGCGTGCATCTTTGGTGTCCTTCGTCCATCAGACTGGCCCTAGAGGGTGACCTCACTTGTGCAACCGCGGGCGTGATCTATACCCCGCGCAGACGAGCTTCTGTTACATCGAGACGCATGAGAGAGCATCAGTTTTGTGCGTTGTTTCATCCATCCCATATTTGGCGCTTGTCGTGATAGTACATTGAACAGTTGTCGCATAAAAACAAAACAAAACAAAACAATGACACATGGAGTTTTACATGCCGGCCTGGCGGTCTCCCAGCCGCCAGGTGTCCTCCTGCTTCGTACCCGGTGCCAGCCAGGCGGCATTGCTTGCGCCGCGGGAACGGCCGTTACTCGGCCCGTCAGACTTCTTCGCATCGTCGCCGTGCCCATTGGCAAGGGACTGGAAGGCTCCAGCAGAGACCATGGGGCTCTCGAACACGGGCGCGTTCTGGCTCTTACTCAGCGCATCCTTGGTGTTCAGGGGCAGCAGGGGCTCCGGCTTGACTTCCATCATCTTAGCCTTGCGGTCCGCCTTGTCACGGTCGTGCGTGCGATCGTAGAGGTAAAGACCGACGAAGGTCAAGGCGATACCGACGCCCTGGAGGAAAGTCGTCTGATTTCGGAACCAGATGATCGCAATGACAATGACGAAGACGCGCTTGATCAGACTTGCGACGGAGTAAGTCACCGGGGAGACCAGCGACAACAAGACGAATGCCAAGATGTTCTGTCCGAAGTGGAAGGTTCCGTTAAAGATGAACTCAACGGTCAGGCGGCCGTGGTCGAAAGAGCCGACCTTCTCGTTCAGATCGACGGCGCCGTCGTGAAGGACGTCTCGGATAATGCCGGTTCCCTCACTCCAGAACCAAATTGGAACTGTCAAAATGAACGCCATGCCGGAAGAGTAGCAAAGCAGGTTCAGCTTGTCGAGCTTTTGAGACCTGGCTGACATGCCCTCGGCCTCTGCCTTGGCAGCCTCATTGAATAGGCGCTTCGAGAAGATGTTTTGCGTCACAAAAATGATGGTGGCGAGCAGGGCGTAGAAGATGCCGAGCATTTCGCCACTGTACTGGTTGTGCTTGCCTGAGCATGCTAGCATGACGCCTGCTGTCAGGGGCACCAGCGACAAATAGGTGTTTACAGAGTATCGAATGTTGAAGATCAATCGGTAGGCGAGAACCGTGAACAAGGGAGAAAGGCCCTTGATGGTGTGGACAAGCGATACGGGGATCTTCGATGTCGCAGTCGAGCTCAGCAAGTGACCAAAGATTTGGAACGCTGCGAGGGGCATGGTCGTCTTAATGACATCGCGCGAAGGGTAGCGAATCCCGTGCTTGAGCGCCGGTATCGCCGTCTTGAGGTTCGGAAAGACGTTGGCCAGCCATGCGAACAAGATACAGTAGGTCGCCACGAATGCGAATTGGATCAGCGTGAGTGTCGCAGGCTTGTCGAACGCAGTGAGAATGGATTTTGAGGACGTGTTCGTGAGGGCGGACGAGGTGTACCACAGCACGCAGAGCCCCTGCGATGCGAGGGTCAGCGCCAGCATAGACTATTTGATCTTACAGCAGCACTCACAATCAGCTTGGGAGAGACGGGGGCCCGCAGCGCATCGGCGATCTCATGAGCATTCTGACTGACACTTCCACCCCTAGTCCTAATGTTGTGGATGGCGTCGCCGAGACTCTTCTGCCTACCGTGGCCATAACGGGTCGCCGGTTGTCCTGGCGCCGTCCACCGTGAGGCGCGACCTTGGATGCTCTCCTTTCTGGGCTGCCAGCGGTCGCCACCGTTGGGTGCTCCTGGGAGCGCGTAGCCGTTGGATCTCGCGGGGCTTGTCCCCCTCGAGCCGTTGGTGAGGTGCGAGTCGATGTGGTCGGGAAACTTCTCCATGCCGCCGGTGGCAGAAGAAGCGCTGCTGTCGCTGTCGCTGTCACTTTCGTCGCCGGTACTTGATCGTCTGGGCGAGTGCTGTGAGGATCGATGGTCAGCAGATGCTGAGGAGGTTTCAATGGAAGAGCTGGACGCTGTGGAGCGAGGCATGACGCGAATACTGGGGGTGGAAATTTGGCGGGGACAAAGTCAAGGACTGGTATCAAATGGAACCCAGCTTCCCAGGCTTCGCTGGTAATGCGAATCACAACGCTTTTAATTGATTACTCGTCCGCCTTACCTTTACTTTTGCTTGAAGTTGTTGAATAAACGAGCGACAGAAGCGGCAATAATGCGCGACAAAAGTTTAGAGCTGAAGGAATTCAAGCATTGTCTCTGAAGTGAGGTAGGTTCGCATAGAAAGAAAATCAGATGGACGGGACGCTCTGATGTTGAAGGTAGGTCCGGTCGTCTGTGGGCTCCTGCGAGGAGATGAGGAAAGGAAAGGAAAGAAAAACCAAAAACCAAGAGGTCTCGAGATCAAGGGCGAGGATTACGAATGTCGAGGCCGTATCTGTGCTTGGGGGAAGCTGTCCTCATCTCAATCAATCGGAATCACCACGGTGCAGCGTCAGCAGCTGGGAATGGTTGGTTTTCGGTGGCTGTCATCCCTGCATAGGTAGCCAGGGGAGATACGCCCCCACGGGAAGCCCACTGCGTCCACTAGAGGAAATCCACTGCAGCAAGCCAGCTTTACGGATTGGCAGCTGCGCGATGGCGATGCTGCAGCTGGATTAAGAGTTATGCCGTGCTTCCGAAGACACTGGACCTAAAAGCACTGCTGGACCGCGATAGAATTGGATGTGCAGCACCCTGGTTCGATGGAGCCGGCGAGTCAAAGCTCCATTTCCATGCTGAGAGGCCAATCCCAGCGGTACGTACCGTCTAGACCTCGACGGGCTTGCAGAGTCGTAGACCCACTTAATTGTCCGTTCAGCCTCCAAAAGTTTGGCGCGGCTGTCACGCATCGCAAGTTGCCGTCACCAATGGATCTGTTCTCCATCGGGCGACAAACGAACCAACCCATCGCCATCGCTTCGTGATCAGGCTTTTCCAACCGACTGCGCTTCCGCCGTCGGCGACTGTGTGCTTTCTATTGTTTTGCGCCGCCAAAGCATGGGACCTCGCCCAGACCCTGTACGATTCATTGGTCTTGTGGTCTTTACCTACTTCATTGCTCAAGCACTACCCAAGTCGTTCCGCTCAGCAGCGCAACTCGATTCAAAATGGCGGCCCCAAAGATGACGAAGAACCAGATGCGCCGGGCGAAGAAGAAGGAGCAGAAGAAGGCGCAGACAGAGGTACGCGCTCTTGCTTCGGACGCACGTGTTCGCGACGCTGACATGAAGCAGGCTGCCGCGAAGCCCGACGAGCAGAAATCTGAAGAGCCCGAGAACCAGGAGAAGACCGCCGAGGACCTCGAGGTCAAGAAGGATGCCGATACCAGCTCAAAGACCGAGGCTGACGGACCGGTCGACGATATCAACCCCGACGATGAGGCGTTTGCCATGTTCAAGGACATTTTCCAAAAGTTCGGCGCGTCGTTAGAGGAGGACGAAGTCGCCAAGGAAGCCAACGCCGGAAACACTGGTGAGGTCATCTGGGACCAGGACGACATTCCCAGTGAGGATGAGGAGGCCTCAGGGCAGACCAAACTATCCAAGAAGAAGAGGAAGCAAATGAACAAATTGTCCATTGCCGAGCTCAAGGCTCTGGTCAAGATCCCCGACGTCGTCGAATGGCAAGACGTCTCATCAACAGACCCACGTCTGCTGGTGCAGATCAAGGCGCAAAGAAACGTCGTACCCGTGCCCGGCCATTGGCAGCTCAAGAGGGAGTACCTTTCTTCCAAGAGAGGTATCGAGAAGCCGCCTTTCAGGCTACCCAAGTTTATCGCCGAGACAGGCATTACAGAGATGCGTGACGCGGTTCTCGAAAAGCAGGAGCAACAATCTCTGAAGCAGAAGCAACGCGAGCGCGTCGCTCCCAAGATGGGCAAGCTTGACATCGATTACCAGAAGCTCTACGACGCGTTCTTCCGCTTCCAGACTAAGCCGGAACTCACTCGCTTCGGCGAGGTGTACTACGAGGGCAAGGAGAGCGAGGTTGATTTCCAACACTTTAGACCAGGTGAGCTCAGCGAGGCCACAAAGGAAGCTCTAGGCATGCCCCCAGGTGCTCCTCCACCATGGCTCATCAACCAGCAGCGCTTTGGTCCTCCCCCGTCATATCCCACCCTTAAGATCCCCGGCCTCAACGCGCCGCCCCCACCAGGCGGCTCCTGGGGCTTCCACCCCGGTGGCTGGGGCAAGCCTCCAGTCGACGAGTTCAACCGCCCATTGTTCGGCGGTGATGTCTTCGGACTTACAAACCAGCCCGGTGCCCCCGCACAACAGCAGGTCGCGGCGCCGCTTGCCGGTGGCGAGCCCGTCGAAAAGACGCTGTGGGGTGAGCTTCAACCCCGCGAGGAAGAGTCCGAGGAAGAAGACTCAGAAGAGGAGTCCGAGGAAGAGGAGGAGGAAGACGACGATGTCCCCGGCGGCCTGGAGACGCCCAGCGGCATCCAGACATCGGGCGGCATGGTCTCCTCCGTACCGACAGACTACCCAGGCCACGGCGTCGAGACGTCTGTGGCCGGCGAGATGGACCTGCGGAAACAGCGCCGTGGCTTCGACACCGAAGAGAGCTCACACCCGCGGTCCGCGTACCAGGTCATCCCCGAGCGCCAGCAGCGCGCCGAGGGCTTCTTCGGCAGCGACCGCGTCTACGATCTCAAGGGCAACAACGGCGTGCCGGTCCTGGGTCAGGAGGACGATACCCGCAAGCGCAAGAAGCCCGGCGACATCGACGTTGCCATCGACGTCGATTCGCTGCAGCAGAACGACGGGCTCAGCAAGGACGAAGTGCGCCGGCGGTTCGAGGAGGGCAAGCGCGAGGACGGCATCGGTGCCAAGTGGGCATACGAGGACGACTTGTCGGAAATGATTGCTCAGGAGTCGAGGAAGAGGCAAAAGGTCGACGAGAAGCGAAACAAGGAGAAGAAGGAGAGCAAGTACAGGTTTTAGAGAACCGGGTAAACTGAACCCATGTGTAATGTTAGCTGGAAAATGGGCAGTGGCTCCCAGCCTGGGTGTTGTATTTCATGTGCAATAGGAACGGCGCCAGGGCTGGCATACAGAATTCGGTATATTTTTGCTATTCCCTTCCAAAACCGCGATCATGTCCAATGGGACAACTCATCAACATGATTTTCATGTCTTTCTTTCAAAATGTGTATGCTATCGTGTGGTGTTCATATTAAGGGTCATATGCCTGATTTGTCTAAGCTTATCCAGTTCTATCGACGCCTCCCATGAGATGACGCCATGCCCATGCAAACACGTCCGCTTCGCAGAGAAACAAGTATGTACCCGCCCGCCTTTTGTGCTCGACCTCACGTTCGAGCTCTGCCTCCTTTTGTACAAGTCTACCTAGACTGCTATTCCTGCTTGCCGACGCATTCATTGCAGAGCCAGTCAGGGGCTTCAACGTCCTTTTTGGCGTTTTCGCTGATGCAGTCCGAGTGATACAAACGCTTTCCACATTCCTATTTCTCAAATCAGCAATGGAAGCAGAAGGGGCTCTTCACAGGGTGGCATACCTCATTGGAACACAACAGCAGTCTGGGACCCAAGACGGCGAGCCCGCACACCTGGCAGCCAGCGGCACTCTTGCGGATGTGAGGCCCCTTGGGCGACTCTTTTGGCTTGGGGGTTGTGCTATTACCATTTTGCACACCGAGCTTGTCTCTGCAGACTGAAATGTGCTCCAGAGCTTCTTCGACGGTAGCATGGTCCAGACTGCTCCTGGCTAGGAGGTAGGTAAAGTGTTTTCCAAACTCGACCATGCGATTTTGAGACGAGAGAAGCCAGTCCGCCTTGAGCTTCACAAAGCTCAGCCATGCCCGTGGGAAGTAAATGTTTGATAAGATACGCTTCGTGAGCATGAATTTATCCCACTCTTGCATGTACTCTCTCTCATCTGGCGGGACATCTGAGAAGTCCGCTAACGCGTCCCGGTGCCATTGGATCAGCCATTGGTCACTGGGTTCCGGTTTTCTGTACTCCGAGCCCGGGTCTAACGTGGCTCTTGTGATCGGGTCGTACAGTGTTTGCTTGATATCCGGAATGATCAGCTTCGAACGTGCCTATGCCTAGTTAGTCAAAAGATGTCGGTTGAAACAACAGAGCACAAACCTCTGGAGGCGGGGCCCTAGTCGCCGAGTGCCTGCTTCGACCTCGACTCCGGCCTCGGGGCTGGGCAGATGAGGCAGTCTCGTCATCAGCATCCAATCGTGAGGTCACCTGGGAAATATTTCCATCGGCGAACTGATCCAAAGAGAAGACCTTCGTCGGACGGCGCAGTGTGAAGGGCTCCGCACCAAACATGTACGACCTGTAACGATGTTCGACTTCGAACCATTCCAAGCCCCGAGCGGAACGTTTTGGTTTGAAGTCGTATTCCGCGTGCTGGTTGACAAGATGGGCCTGCAGCTGCTGCAGTTGATCATGGGCCGCACCGCAGGTAACGCAGCGGAAGCTGTCCAATTGCACCTGCTCACTAGGCATCTTGTAGAGGACAGTTCCGTCTTCAACGGCGTTTGTGTTCCGGCGTCTCCTCTGCTTCTTCTCTCTGCCCTGAGCCTTGTCGCTCAAAACCTTGAGGTTGTAGTTCTTAGTGGCGCCACGAACCCGGAGAGACCGATTGGGAGTGAGCTCCTCTTCTGCCTCGTCATCATCATGAGCGTCCCCATTGACAACGCCGTTCCTGAGACCCTTCACAGGTGTTGTAAGGCCATTCCTCACTTCCTTGACAGGACTCACAGGCGGACTCTCAAATTGCTGGAAATCCCCGGGGAAGGCATCGCCAGTAAGCTCCGGGTGGACGGTAATGGATGGCTTGACTCCGTCTTCCAGAGGACGGATAGCGGATGCCTCGAACGCTGACGTCCACAGGGTATCCACCTCGATCACATAATCTGTCGCAACAAGCTCCGAGTCTCCCGTCCTCACTTTAAGAATCAGCGATGCCGGCTTGCTTGAGAACAGGTTGGACATAGCGGCGACGAAAACCCAGCGATGTGCCTCAGACTTGTGCGAGCGGCCCGGTTCCTCGCCGTTCAAGATGATAGGAGGCCACACAGTTGGAGCAGCGGCTTCCAACTCGATGCAGAGGCGATATTCATCGGCCAGGTCGAATGAGTTATTCCTCTCATTGTTGACGCGCATGGTATCTTTGGGAATGTAAAAGGGGCGCGGCAGGCTCACGCGGGCCATGCGCAAGGGTCCGCCAGGGTCCTTGAAGGACGTGATGTCGCAGACTTGGCTGTTGCAGTAGAGGATCGTCTCATAGTGCCACAGGCTGACTTTACACCTGGATCGCAGCTTAATGACATCTTCGTACGCGTCCGAAGGTAGGCTGACGCGCTTTGATTCCTTGTGGCTGATCTTGCCTATGCGGACGCATAGGTTGCGTTGGACATCGCCAACCTCGCGGGCATGAAAAAGCTGGTCTTGCAGGGTGTGAGGTTGGATCTTGGCCTCGGTCCGTCGACGCTTGGTGGCGCGGTTGTCATCATTGTCGATGGGGGGGTCTCTAGCAGCAGCGGCCTTCTGAGCCGACGACTGAGAGTTTCCCATGCCTTGCAAGATGTTCCTCTGGAGAAAAGGGGTGCTGCGCTGACGCCGCGAGTGAGCCGTCATAGCTGGAAGAGGGGGACCATATGAGGTTTATAGAGGTTGAGTGCCGCTTGGTGCGCCGGAAAGTCTAAGTGTTGAACGGCTTCAGTCCACCCGGAGGCAGGCGCGGTCGCCCCTTACTTCGTCAAGCCCACTTTGACGGGGTGAGCCGGAGAAGAGGTCTCGTTGGCTTGTCCCAAGGCTCATTGAATGCGAGTGGTCTGCAGGTGACTTCCCATGGCAATGCGAAGTGAGGCGCACCCGTCAGAATATCCGTTCGGTCGATGGACGGCGACCGTTTGGGCTTTGTGACGGGAGAAAAATTTTGGCGGCGCGCAAAAGCAGGCGTTTGTGAGGTGCGTGAGAGAGGCGTTGTGAAAGCAATGCGATGGCGGATGGCCAAGATACGGGGTGGAACCCGGTAGAACGCGACTCGCGATTTTTGGCTGAGACAGGGGAAACAAGACCGAAGTACCTTACGTAGCCGCTTTGACGAGAAAGAAGAGTGTCAGAGAGAAGCGGGCTCGAAGCTAGAAAAAGTGAGTTCGAGTCCGGCGCGAAATGAACGTCGCGCGTCAAGAAGGTGGGAATAGTGGCGCTTTGGGAGAGAAGCCGGCGCAGGTTCTGGTCAAGTCAAGCTGGGAGAGAGCGACGTGTGAGCTGAAGCGCGTCGTTGATGGATGCCCTGGTCCAAGGGGAGTGGACGTGGACCAAACACCCCGGGGCCAGGAACAGTGAATTTGGGGGTGGGACTCGCTCACATTGTTGTCGCCCAGGGGCCAGTAGGCTGTTTCCACCCAGGAACAGGGAACAGCAATCAGCAAATGCCACTGGCGCCTTCCCGCTACGCTACCTAACAGGGGACTGATGGCAACCCGCAGCTTGCTGAACATTCAAAGGCAGCCACGGCACAGGATTGGCCGTTGAATGGGTTTAAAATGGGGCGGGACTCTCTCAGGCGAACGCGGCAGGCATCCCGACGGTGCAACAGCCAGGTCGAATTGGGCCTGGTTTGGTGTTCCCATTGGAAGAGGGTCTCCATCTTGAAATTTTGTCTGAGGACAGGAGCTTTCAACGGCCAACTTTCCCCTCGATTTGCTCCAAAACAACGAATAGACATGAGTATGTCAAATCGATATGCCGACTTCGAACGGAGCCCCTAACGATCGTCCATGACGAGGAACTCGCATTCCTTGATACTTTGACGTTCCAGGCCCTAATAAAGGTGGAGGGCCGCGAAACATCCTATGGCCTACCTTACTTATTCTCATACCTGGTCGGAATACTCAGTGCAAGGCACAATGGGAATGGGAGCCACTACTGACGACAGAAAGCTTCTGCAGCCACCTTCACACTGAGGTTTTGGCGACATGCGCACGGGCCAGATGTTTGTGTGGAGCCAGGCATCTTTTCGGCAAGCGCCTGGGCAAGCGTGGCAGCCTTGAGAATGCTGCGCGCTAGTGCAAGGCTACAAGCTCTCACACTCTGTTGTGTTGGTTCGACTCGAGTGTCGCGCGCTCCTGCCCCACCACATCCGACTCCAACTCCAGTCGCCGGCAAAGGTGAATGTACCGCACCATCTCAAGACCGTTCTTCAAAGCCAAAACTCTCTCTTTCCTTCCCACCCCGATCTCGCTCCACCAGTCCCTTTTCCCATCGTTGGCATACACGCATTCTTCGCACCTTCGTAATTGCGTTGCAATCAATTACCACTTTTCGGCACTCCGATCCACTGGCGCATTCGCATTGTCGCAAACGTCATAGCCAGACGGCTTGAGGCGATGCGCCGACTCTGAATCTTGTTCTTTGCCTATTGTTAGGCCACCTTGCTCGACATAGCAATAGCTCTCACGCAAAGATCACATCAGGTATTTGGTCTTGCCCTTGGTCCTTGGTACCCAGCATCACCCTCAACGCCCACTAACATGTGCATCCTTGCGACACAGGCATACGCATCCTTGCGCCATGGCTTCCCAGCGGGCATCGAGCTCCCGCCGCAATTCGTCACGAACCTCCAACCGTTCAACCTCCATTTCCTCTCAGATGCGGGTCACAAAACCTCGTGGTCGATCTGATTCCGCGAAAGAAGTACAATCCCTCCGATCGAGCACACGTACCCAGTCACGACCGCAATACCGTGAAAGCTCCGAGGACGATGAACCAATGGAGGAGGAAGAGGACGATTTCGAGGAGTCTACCCAGACGTCGCCCGCAGTCAGCCGCCGGAGCGCGCGTGCGGCTGCTTCCACCGGCGCCACTGCTGCATCAAAGGCGAGAGCAAATCGCGCGACTGCTAGGGAAAACAGAGCCGAGGGTGCTGGGCTAAAGAAAGTCGCCACTGGCCGTATTGATGGAAAGACAGCCAGGAAGCGAGGCCGCCCGCCGAAGCCGAGAAGATCAACTCCTGAGGACGAATCATCCCCCGACGAGACTAGCGAAGATGGATCCGACGATGAGCCCGATGGGGATGATGCGATGAAGTCTCCACCCACTTCTTCCCCAGCAAAACGACGCCGTGGCAGGCCTTCTAAGAAGAAGGCCGGACGGCCTCCCAAGATCAACGCCACGCTTGCTGGGAAAACACCGCCCAGTGCATCGGAGATAGATAATTCCATCATACCGAATTGGTTAGACCCTCGCATGGAACACGCAATCTGGGTTCAGGTCTTTCGATATGCCGCTATATCTGGCGAAGAAGAGGATGTTCAAGATATCAACTGGCTACTCGCAACAGCTCGGGTATGTCGAGATTTTGTGGAACCTGCTCTGACAGTTCTTTACCGACGTCCGCCCGTCAAGGATGAGGTCAAGGCTCAAAGGCTTGCGGAGCTCCTCGAGAAACCGCCTTCCATGACGGCCATCAACTATCGAGCGAAAATTGAGGCACTCCACATCGATGTCCGGCTAGTGTCTTTGCAAAATCACACGCCTGCTACCAGCCTAATGCAAAGTCTGCCTCGTCTGTCTGAAGTGCTGCTGTCACATGGCTATGACCAAGCGCCTTACCGCAAGCTGAAAGAGCAAATCAAGTGGACTTACCCTGCTGACTTATGGAAAGCCTTCGAGCCATCGCCCACCGCAGACGATGAAGCTGGTGCCAAAACGAGCATCACGCGGCTCCAGAGCTGGCAGTGGAGCTCGAGACTCATGGACAAGGATTGGGAGGGAAGCCTTGTCAGAATGAAGGAAGTGCACCAAACACCAAGCTTTACCTCCCTGCGAAAGATCAAACTTGTCAACTACCAACTACCGTCAGTCAGACTCGACAAAGATCCGGATGATGACCCCGAGCTGGTTGCTGAAGATGAAAGATCTATGAAGCTCCTAGCCGAGTCTCTTACGGTATTGGAAAATCTCGAGCATCTGGTCTTCGAATCTTCAACCATTGTCTGCACGGCATTTCTGCCCCTTCTTCCTATCAAGTTGAAGCGACTCGAGCTGGTAAATTGTGCGGAGGTAACGGCCGATAACCTCGGGGAGTTCCTGATCTCGAACGGCCATCAATTGGAAGCGCTGGTACTCAACCACAATCGTTCTTTGAGTCTAGCCTTTCTCACGGTGTTGGGGACTGCCTGCCCACACCTTCAGGTGCTACGGGCCAACTTCAAATACTTCAGTCTGTTGGAGACTGTCGATGACAACGAACCCTTTTACGATCATTTACTGCTCTCTGATCAAGTACCTAGCTGGCCACCGGCTCTCGAAACACTTCACTTGGAAAACCTTCGGAACTGGGACATGAACACCGCCAAAATGTTCCTCCATTCTTTGATAGACAGTGCCTCCGTACTGCCGATGCTCAGATATTTGTCTATCAAAGCCATGCTCGATATCCCTTGGCGGGAACGCAGTGACTTCCGCAAATCATGGCAGGAGAAGTTCGAAAAGGTCTTCCTGCGGCCAATCACGGATCCGGAGCCGAACTTTTCGCTGCGCATGCCGGCGGATGATGAGGCGGCACCCGCAAAGCGCAGACCCAGGAAGGCTCCTGGAGAACCGACTCGTCGCAGCAACCGTGTCGTTCCAGATGCACCCGGGCGATCTTCACGCGGAAGCAGCTCGTCGAGAGGGCTCCGTACCAACAAGCAGAAGCCAAAATCCTATCGCGAGCCGGACAGCGACGAATTCGATTCCGAGGATGGAGATGATGCCGATGAGACCGTGGAGGAATCCGAGGACGGTTCCGAGCAGGACACAAAAGAAACAGGAGATGCTGCTATCTCAGACGGCACATTCGTACAAGGCCTCTGTACTTTCGTCGACATCAATATCGACAACCAGAAGCCAAGGGAGCATCAGTACGGCATGGAGGACTTTCTTAACGACGAGCGTGACTTCGAGACCGACGATGAGTGGAATGGTGACATGGACTTTGAGTAGGACTACTAGCTCCCCGCCCGATCATCGTTAATTCCGAAGGTAGAGTAGTTTTATATGCATTGTATAGTCTCAGCAGTGTGTCAATGCGACCCTGAGCGTATACTCTGTGGAGGATGGTTGTGAGGATGGCTACTTACTTTATTTATAAGGCTCGATTGGCTCTTGGGGCGTTTATGGGAATCTTAGGCTGAGAGGGACTCGCCTGGAAGGCTATACGGATTATACGTGGGCAAGATAACGCGTCACGACATGATCATATGGGAAGCTAGCAAGGATGTGCTTTCCATGGCATCTATTATTGCCCCTACCTTGCGTGCTCGGATAGGTCAGATACAAAATATTTGCTAAAGCAGGGAATACAATTGTGTTTGCTGAATGTTACTCACTCACTGCTTCAAGATGCTGCGATGTCCAACCAGGATCTCAACATATGAGCGCTCGTTTTGCTATTAAAGTGACCAATTGATCTAGTGTGTTTTTGTGTTAAGTCAAAAGAAAGGTTCATAAACGTTGACATTTTACCAGACGTCAGTCAGATAGAATAGCCCCTGCGCAACTGCGTAGCCAAGCCGGGCCCTGTCAAGACAACGTGTCGTTACGATCATGAAATGGGTATCAAGTGACTTGAATGCTATGACTATCAAAGTACCCTCTCAATTCGTACATGCGCGGGTGAACTGATGGTTCCCGCCGCTAATAATAGTACATCATCATCGTCAATCCCTTTCATCTACCAAAACCGTATTCCTCCGTTGAGAATGGGAAAATGAAAGCAAAACACATAGTGGCAGAAACCCTCCTCTCCATGACCTGTTCAACAGTTGCTGGCGACCCCATCAGAACGCGGCACCTCCCAAGCCCTCTCCGGCCAAACTCTTGAGGCTCTGCTCACTAAGATCGACCCTCGTCCTCCATGCCTTGGACTCCATCTCAAGCTTATCCCATACCTGCAGGCTCTGGCGCAGCTTGTCCTGCTTAGCGTCAAGCTCCGCTCGTGCCTTCTCCTCTTCGCCCTTGAGCTTCTTGTAGTGCGGCTCGATCTCTCTGGTGATACCCGTAGTTGTCGGCAGTAAAGACGGGTCGATCTTGCCTCCCGGGATGAGAGGAGGGAGGGTAGAGAGCATACTCTGCGCCAGTGTGAGACGCTGGCCCTGGGCTCCGTGTTGGGACGAAGGCCCTGTGGGCGGGTTGAACGCCTTGGGTGCTGATGAGGTTGTTGGGGTGGCATTGGACGGGTTGGCGCGCGGACCGGTTGGTATGGTCGATGGTCCGTTGCCGGTTGCAGAAGGGGACGTCGTGGGCACGGGGGTTTGACGAGGAGGAGGCGCGGCAGACCAAGAGCCTCGTCCACCACGGCCATTGTATCCGCCGCCGCGCGCAGGAGCTACATAACCTCGAGGGCCAGCGGGTGGGATCGTGGGACTCGTAGCGTCCGATCGGGAGGGAGGGGGCGGCACGCTCGGGGTCTGCGGGTGTCTAGGTGGCTGGACAACGGGTGAGCCGGCGGGCGCAGAGAAGTTTCGGGTCGCGGCAGGGCCGGTTGGAGGAGCACGCAGGGCCGCGGGGCCTCGGGGAGGCGTCTTTGCAACCGGCGAAGGGGCCGGCTCTTGGGGGGCAACAACGGCGGCGGCGGTAGGGGGGACGGCGGCAGGCTTCGAGTTCGAGGGGGGCGGCGGTGCTTCCCGCGCCGTCGCGGACGATGACGACGACGGTATGGCAGAAGCGCCGCCGGTCTGGAGGGGTGGTGTGGGGTCCCGCTCGCGCTCTCGCTCCCGTTCCCGCTGCTCCCGCTGTTCCCGCTCCCTCGATTGCGGCCGCGAACGTGCTCGTATGGAGGAAGGAGGATGCGGTGACGACTTGCCTGAAGCTGATCGAGACGTGATGGCCGACGAGATGCCGGAATCTCGAGGCGGTGACGCTCGTCTGTAGGAGGATCCGAGGTATCTCTCGCCGCCGCGACGGCTCGTGCTACGAGATCGGGGTCGATAGCTGCCTCTAGCCGCCGGAGGAGGCGGTGATCTCCTCGGAGGAGTTCTGTCACGCGGGGGCCTGTCACGTCCACCGAACGGCGAGCGCGACCGTCTTCTAAAGGGAGCGGATGAGACTGGGCTCTGCGCAAAGGGGGGCAACGAGCGGTACCTGTCGTCCCGTCGATCAAGGTCCCTATCCCTCTCCCTCTCCCTCTCTCGATCGCGGTCGCGATCTCTGTCTCTGTCCCTGTTATCGCGGCGCGGGGATCTGGCGCGGTCACTGCGCTCGTCTCGGATGGCGGGAGACCTGCCAATGGGACTGCGACGCCTTGACGGACTACGTCTCGGCGATGGCCGCCTTACAGGGCTTCGGGTTCTGTCCCGCCTCCGCCATGTGTCGCTCTGCGGGCGCGGATCTCTGTCTCTAGACCTGTCGCGTCGGTAGCGGTCACCGCTTCGAGACCTGCGGCGAGGAGATCTGCCAGGGACGTAGCTGTCGGAGGTCAAGGGAGGAGTGCGAGCGCGGTCTCTGTCGCGGTCTCTCTCCCTGTCTCTGTCTCGATCTCTGTCTCTGTCGCGGTTGTCGCGATTGTCGCGGTCCCGATCACGGTCTCGGTCTCGGTCTCTGTCGCGGTTGTCGCGGTCACGATCGCGATCTCTGTCACGGTCACGGAGGGGGCTTCGGGCTCGTCGAGGAGAGCGGTCTCCTCCTCCGCCCCTCTCCCCTCTAGGGAAGGGTCTCCAGGACTCGCCGGCGCCATACCTAGTGACCTCGCCGTCCTCGTACCTGTGATTTTATACGTTAGCAAGACTCTGTAGTTGAAGCTGTCAGTGACGTCTTGGCGGGATGCCTTGGCGATAGAAGTCAATGGATAAGGCTGCGGAATCCATTCGCTCTCTGAGCATCTGCGCCCAACGTAGCCAGCGTCGAGCGCGATACAGGAGGAAACAATAAGGCAGCTTTGATGACTTCATATGCAGGCAGCCTATGGCAAAAATCCAGGCCAGTAGACCGGTTCGCCCAGAAGGCAGAAAACACAAGTCTGCGAGACCTGGGGATGTCGTTGACCAGTCGCTGGGGTCGACAGCCCGCAAAGTTGTGAACAACATACAACAACAAGGAACTTACCTGCTTCGCCGATCGCGATCCATGGTCAATGATGCCTGATTGACGCGAAAGTGTTGTAGTTTGAGTAAAGACGCGCTCGCAACAGCTCGTGATAGCCGTGATGCGCGCGGTCGTGGTGTTGAGAGGGTCAGCTACCTCTGCATGCGCCAACGCCGACGTCTGATGGAGCAGGGTTGCTGGCAAGCACATTGGATCGGCCCCTGAAAATTGAAAGGGTACCCACTTCGGACGCTGAGAACGGCGTTATCCATCTTCCTAGTCCGGATAAGACAATGTTTAGCCAATGAAAGTCCGAGCGCTGCATGCACTTAACCCACATAGTCGTCCCGGGCGTGAGCCAATCACAGCTGCAGAATTCAACGGACAGCCAAGGATATTAAGAGCGTCGCCGGACGATCAGCCAATCAACGACTTACAAGATGATACACCAAGAATGCGATGTGAAAGATTTCATTATCACATAGAAGCACGTAAAAGGCAGCACAGTGTTACATGTCAGGGTTTATGGACAACCAGAAACCTACGTCGTTGACTGCTGTCCTGCGCTCACAAAACTCCAGACAAATAACTTCCATGCTCACTCATCGTGTGCCCTCTCAACCTGGAAGCTCCTGGTATCCTACCCGCCAAATGATGCTCTGCCGCCAGCCGTAACAATTGACAGAAGCTGTGACTGCGCCATCTGCCTCATCTCTTGTCCATTCACACCACAAATATGTTCCACCCAACCCAGTCGCGCACCCCTGAAACCTGTCAAGTCATCTTCTCGTCGTCAGTTGTATCGCCACCTTGACGAGCCGCTAACTTGTCTAACATCCACCTCTGAACTTGCTCTGCATGCGTCTGCATCATCTTGTTGACGCCACTCGTCTCGCTGCGGATAACAGTACCAAAGCGCCTCTTAGAAACTCGGCGAACTGTGTCCTCGCTGTCCCAACAGGGGTGGTCGTGAGACACGTAAATTTGCGAGTGGTCCTTATACCACGTCGAAAGCTCGTTGTCCACGTCAGACTTCACTGGGCGCAGCATACCTTCCACGAAGCTTGCGACTCCGGCTATGCGTGACCTGCAGTCTGTGAAGGATAATTAGCAATAATTACCGGGAAACCTCTTATTGAGGGTGCATACCTCGGCTCGTGAGGAGTTGTTTGACCCCATTGTAAGAACGGCCAACACCCATGAGAATGATGTCGTTTGCGTCTTCGTAAAGCTGAATGTAGTTGTCCCAGAGATAGTTCAAGAGCTCCTGGAGTTCAGCAAGGAGCTCCTTGTCCGCTATCTTGGGGTTGTATGGATCCATGTCCTCGTCCCGCACAACCTTGCTAGGGATGTTGACGTCCATCACCGCAATATCTTCATTGACAGCCCAATCAATGTATTGGGATACACTGTCGACAATCCATGCGTTGTGAAGCTCGATGTGACGGTCGATGACGTCAGGCTGGGCGAGGAACTCTGGCGGATCGTGGATGATGACGAGCAGTTGGCGCGCAGATTGAATGTCGGGTGTCACCAAGACCTGGTTTTCGTACGATTTGAAGAGATGGTCCCTTTGGATGAATAGTGGAATCATCTGATGTCTTTGCGAGAGGTCCTGTCGTTGACCGAGTCTGACGTGGTCATGCAATCTGGTGGCATTGAGATCCTGGATTTCAGGAACGGGTATGATGCCAGGTCTCATGCACTCCCAGTACGGCGCCTGGTAGCTCTGTACCTTTGCCAGCACTCTTGCCGCATCCTTGTTGAGCATGGGTATGTCCATTTTTGGTGGGGGCTCTCCCATCAAGGTGCGAGCAACGGCGACGGCTGATGTAGAAATTGCTTGAAGGTTGTAACCTCCTTCCAAGCACACGGCAACTTTACCGTCTGCCAGAGACATGAGCATGTGCGTCATGTGGGCGTAGCAGGTAGGTGTCACAAAGCAACCACCGAGTTCGTCCCCAGCGGCAGCATCAAAACCTGCCGATATGACAACCAGATCCGGGTTGAATTCCTTGGCGATGGGCATGATGATCTTCTGGAATGCGGCCATGTATTCGCCGTCGCCCATTCCCTGGTCATGCCATCCGATGTTGATGTTCTTGCCCAGGCCAGGCCCCGTGCCACAGTGCTCTAAGCCTCCGTCTGGGATATCTTGGTTGTCAGGCTTGCCAGGATAGAAGATTCCATTTTGATACACGTGAAGAGAAATATACAGCACGTTGGGATCATCATAGAAGATGTTCTGGATTCCGTTGCCATGGTGGACATCCCAGTCTAGGATAAGGACTTTTCGGCAATCTGCGGGGTACTCCTGCTGGCAGATCTTGACAGCAACAGGTACGTTGTTGAAAAAGCAGAACCCGAGTGGTTGATCGTACTCTGCGTGGTGACCAGGCGGTCTGATGACGGCGAACGCATTCTTGACGTTTCCCTCGACCACATGTTTGCAAGTGTCAATGGCACCGCCGCAAGACAAAAGTGACGCTGTGAAAGTCAAGCTGCCGACGTAGAGAGAGGCTCGGCCTTGGTCGTACTGCTTACTGGTTTCTCGCAGTGTTGCGTAGTCCATTCGGGACAGGTCTTCGACCCAGCGGTAGTGATCGGGTGTGTGGGTGGTCAGGATTTCTGCCTTGGTGGCTTCGCGCGCGCCAATCCTCCACATGTACTTGGTAGGGGTGTCTCTCAACACCTGAGCGACATTCGCCTCGGGGCCTGTGTAGACCAGGCCGGCTCTCTTGAACGCTTTGAAGATCTCCTCTATGCGACGAGGGTCTTCAGGGTGATGAGGGGTGGCGCCGAAGTCAGCATTAACATGCAATTTCATTCGGTCGTCGTAGCAACACGCCGTGGGTAGGAGACCGCGTCTGCGGGTCTGGTCGACGACGTCTACCTCCTCATCATACTCTTCGTAATCCTCTTCTTCTTCCTCGTCAGATGGCGTCGGGTTTCCACTCTTCGGATCACCAGCCGCAGCCGAGGCGACACCGTTGGGGGTTGACGTGTGATTTGATGGCCCGTCGTCACCGCCCATGACGACGTCTGGGTCGGCACCGTCCATGGTGCGAAGATGGGCTGGGTTGACTAGCCCCTAGGACTTTGGTCAACCTGATCTAGAACCAATCTTGGGGGGGATAAGAGGCGCAAGCAGTATGGCGTGCGGTGAGAAATACAAATCAACGTTTTGTCTCGTTGACTGCTTTGACAGTCTTCGCGCGCTGGAGTAGACGTGACACGATCGATAGAGAAAAGCAGCCGGGCTCTATCTGAGGCGATACGCTTGAAGTATGAATCAGGCAGGCGCAGTCTCTCAATCTAAGTTGAGAAAGCCTGTTTATTGCGATTCCCAACAGAGAGACCGAATATCTAATGCAAGTCAGTATACAATGATGTACTTCAGGAATTTATGTGAGTGCGTGAGAGGCAGGAGACGTCTCGATAAACCAGAATACGAAGCATTATCCAGATTGGCGGTTCAGTAATTCTGGATGGACATATATGAGAGCACTGGGACCTCTGAGTGCCGCATTGCGTCTCTTCTTTCGCAACTTTGATGAAAGATGCAGACCAGGAAGGTGCCGTAAGAGACGTACGGTCTCCGTTGTTCACTCGGTCACGAAACGCCGCGCCGTGGCTGGCCCCTTGTTCCTTCCTTCTATTGATGGGTAACATGCGAGATAATATCACTTACCAATCTTGGGTGAACAATGGCTGATGTCGAGGATGCGACAGAGAGGTCGAGGGGCTTGTTTGCTTGAGAACTGCCAGCAAGCGCAAGATGACCTACACCGGCGCGGCCCCGTTCTGTCAAGATTCCCGACTTAGACGAATCGAAGAAGTCTGGAAGAATAGTCATAAATCCAGCGGCAGAATATGCGCAACAGAGAGACGCTGTGTTGTTGCGCAAAGACCGTTGTATAGGAGGATTAATAGATGGATGGCCGGGTGTGAGTGAGAGCAAGATGGGAGGCTTGGGCCACTGACAAGGCGGGAGCTGGCCACAAGCCTGCCGCCTTGCAGGGTGCACCCGCCACAGCACAGCAGCCCCCCTGTAACCGCAGCCTCGTACTAAGACACACCGTACACTATGGAGCACCCATTTCAGGCAAGTTGGATCAGTGCACTCCCCAGGCCCCATCTTTACCTAGTACTCATTTCATCAGACACTTTCAAAATGACACGATATTCAAGTCATCGCAGCGCGCATGAATGTAGCAGAGAAACACATGTATACTGCCAGAGTCTATCTCTGCTGAATCTAGTCTAAGTTATTGCCTAACACGCGCCGCGCGTACCGGTGGAAATGATCTCGCTCAGCAAGAGTTCGGCCATCATCTCCAGGAGGCGCCCAATCGCTGAGTGGCCGCTGAAAAGCTCCGGGTGCCGGGATCGCACCGTCATGACTACCGTCATTGTTGAGGCGATCCTCATATTCTTTGTTGACATCAACGATACCTCCCACAGTACTCAGGTCATCGACCTCGTAGAGCCACGGGCGCTCATCCACTACGGCCTGCACGGCTGCCTCGAGTGATTCTTGATCTCGAGAGAAGTTGGGGTGCCTAAGGTTCACATCCGTTACAAGACGCTTCCTAGGATAGTTGAACAGATTTTCAAAGTAAAACATGAGATCTCGCGGGTCGAGCTTTGCGTAGGTATCTACGATTCGCTCGCGAATGGTGTTCTCAATCATTCGATCTAAGGAGCTCATGTCTTGGATCTGCAGCTACGGTGTCAGCAATAGGCACAGAAGATCATTCAAGGAGTCGCATACAGGCTCCAGGTTTTGCTCTAGGTTTGGATAAACATAATGTCGCACAAGCTGCTTCACAGAGGTGAAAAGGTCTTTCAGCTCCATCAGCTCCGTCGAAGGGTAGAGTCTCATTTGGCTGATTCGTACGTCGTTGACAAATGCCTCAGGATGGCCACCTCTAGGTCGAGGAAGCTCGCCGTGAAAGTAAAAGGCGTACAGCCACCAGCGGTAGAGAGCCCTGCGGAATCTGAACTTTTCTGTATCCTTGAGTTGACGACAGTCTTCTGGGGTTGAAAACCAGTGAAGTTGAGGAAAGAGCTCTTCCCACCGTCTGACTACTAGGCAATACTTAAGCAATGAGTCAAAATCACGGTCATTGACGGCGACTGATCGTGGCGCCGGTAGTGTAGTCGCAGACAGCGACTTGCCGTTGTTGAGAATTCTGGTAAACAGAACCTGCTCGGGAGATGGCGCAGAATCCGAACGGATGCCACCCTGTGACAGGGTAACTCCTGACACGTCGCCTGGAAAGCGCCTGAACACTACTCGTCGGGGCTGGAAAGTGTCACCGTACTGGCCTAGATCCTGATCCGATGCCGTGTAGACCTGGAGAAGCTCGTCAAATGGACTAAACTCCCGCTGTAAAACTGGTAGCAGAATGACTGCCCTGTTCTTCTTTAGCAGTCCATGGAACAGTGTGTTGACTTTTGCCAAAGAAAAGATGCTGCGAACGTCAAGTTGCTGGTAAATGTCGAAGATAATCTCAAGTGGGAGGCCCTCCAGACCCTCGAGTTTGCCGCCATCATGGGAAACCTTGCGCTCAGCATCCAACTGCAGCCGGGATGCAATGAACAGGGATGAGAACTTGGATGCCATCTCGAATACGTACCGCAGCGCGGAGTGGAGGTGATTCGTGGACTATGATGATGATGATGCTGTCTGATAGATGGCGACGAGACGACTGAATTGTTCGGGGGCTCAACAAATCGGACAAGTCGTTCAGAATTCAGTGGCAGCAGCGAAGCAGATACGACTAGACTGCTGAAACGAAGACGTTGGTGAACAGGGTTTCGCCTTAGTATCTGGGGTGTGGTTGAAGTAAGTGGTGATAAGGCGGATAACACCACAAAGATACACCGGTTGACGAAGAAAGCAATCGGATGAATTGAGGTAACAAATTGCTGTGAACTGCTGATCGAATGGAGTTGTTTCTCAAAAGTGAACTCGATGTGTCAGAGGCACAAACAGACGCCGTTGGCGGCAATGAGACGGTTGGATTCTGCTGGGACATTAGAACAAGACTACATCGTTCAGATGTGGTAGAGCTCACCGGTGATTTGCAGCATTATGCTTTGTGTGTGACCCTTTCGTTGGATCTTGGTGACCAGTATCCTGGATCGCAATGATTGCAGACAAATGCCACAACCAGAAGGGCAGACGAGAGCTTATCGTCTCGTTGGCCGTCGTGAAAGAACCTTCTACCGGTAGACTCGAGTAAAGTCTAGCCAAGGAAATGAGATTAATAGAATAGAGGCGACGAAGCCTCCGTCGAACCTCGCGGACGAATCAATTCACCGGCGAGGTCTAAGATCGAATGGCCTATTTTCTAACCACCCCGGCGTTGGGGCTATCAAGGACGGCGAGGACGCGGACTGGCATTGTTTACCTCGATGGAGAGGCTGTCATCGATGAAGGCCAATGTGCTTCCCAATAAGCCTTGCCTAGGTAGCTAAGGGCCGCGGTGTGGGAAGATCAAGTGCGACTCGAAGATGCGAGAGCAAAGGAGTCAAAGGCAACGGACGGAGGTTGGACGCGACGGTGACGCAGAGGACATGCAGGTCGCCCCTGCCTGCTGACCTAAACGTCGGCCCGGAGTGACTCTGGGAGGCAGGTACGGTTCATAGTGGGTTCCCGCCCCTGGCTGGCGTCAGCGCCAATTGACGGGGGTGTCTTATCGCTATCAGTGCTTGTAGCTTGGGCACCTTATTATGAGACTCACCGGCCAATCACTGCAAACTTTGGACTAACACAGTCCTGAAATCGTCAAGACTTCCAGTCGTTGTGACAATTAGTTTACAAAACAGACAACTTTTTCCCATTCCGCAATCATTCCCAAGAAGAAGGTGGATATCTCATTATTAAGCGAACAAAGTCTTGGTGTCCAGCTCATCATTGGCCGCCGGCTTGCCTCCTGTAGATCGAAGACCAAGGTCACCCTTCTTGGACATCCGCTCGACAACCTTCTCAGCCCTCGCCGTGTGACGGACCGCCTTCTTCCTTCTCATATCAGACCTGACCAGGTTGGGGCTGACATACTCCTTGTTTTCGAAGATTTTTGGCCCTCCAAAAGCCCCCTCCAACTGCGCGCGCGCAAACGATATCAGCTTTGCACTTCTCTAAGTGGATTCGGGACGTTGTCAACTTACAATGACGACAGGCGTGAGGGTGAAGCGGGGGCCGATTTCTTGCAGAGAGGTGGAAATCGTCTTCCCACCCTTGGTCACAGTCTTTTCTCCATCGTCTTCCTGGCCCTCCTTCTCCTGGATCTCGTAGTTCCGGACCCAGATCTGCAATTACGTTAACCACTATAACGCAAGTTCTTGGCGGGCAAATCTCACCTTGCCATCCAGCACCGAGAAGCTCATTACATGATCAATGAACGGCTTGGCCTTTCTCGCCCCGGGAGGCACTCCGAAAGCAGCAATGAACATTTTCTTCATCACTTTGCCATGTTGTCAGTCCCGAGCACCCAAAAGTAAGGAGCTAAACATACACTGCAAATGAGCATCATTCTCAAACGCCTGGTCAAAGCTAAGAACTCTGTCAGTCGTTGTGGGACGAGGAGATAGTTGCCGAGGGGAGAGGGGGGGGAACGTACGACAAAATCGGTCTTGAACCACGGAGGCAGTTTCCTTTCGATGATATTAGCATGATGCCCACCTTAGTATGTTATGTAGTGATCTTCCATGCGCCTCAAACGTGGACAGAATGGCAAGAGAACAGAGGGGCGTAGGAAAACATTCAATAGCATGAGTTCATACCTGGGAAATTGAGTTCTTCCATCGTGTGGACTAGAAGCATGTCAGTTGCCGCCTCGGACCTGATTTAGACAGCAAACATACTGTTCTGAACATGGAACTTGATACTGCATCCGTTGCCGCTTCTTGCCATCCAGAGGTAAAGATCCTTGTGCTTTCTTGCTTCGAAGAAGACGATGTTGTTGCAGTTGTACCTAGAGAGGTATTGTCAGCGTTCGTTGCCCCGGCGCACGTTCGGAAAGCAGGTCGCATACAACTCAGCCAGCTCATTGAGTCCGTTGAGGTTTCCCTTCTTGTCATATTTCACATCTCTAGCCCAAGCTTAGCCCAAAATTCCAGTTGCATAGATGATCCGTGCCGGATTTACCTCTTTCCGTGGGGCATCAGCGTCGCCAAGTCGTTGAGCAGGTGTCGGTGTCTGGCCAGTCAAAGATCAGCAAGTGCTCAGATGACATCCAGAGGGTGCAATGTATCTTTGGACATGCCTGTACGTCACGCCTCTGCTCGAAAGCAGCAGGACACGCTGCTTGTTGACGCTCTTCACAGCACCATCTACCGGCGCTGCCTCCTTCTGGTCGGTTCTCTTCGACAAGCTCTTGTAGACGGCCGCCATTTTGACTGTCGTTGTGTCGAAGGATTTATATCCAAGGGGTTGACTTCGGTTCGAGGAGCTTGTTGGTGCAAAACCGTCGAGACGATCGCGATCGCAGATTCGAGGAAGATCAACCGCGTCGCTGCGAGGGAGGGGCAATCGGACGATGAAAAAGAATTCCGGCTCAGAAAAATTCGGCTCGTTAGTCGCAAAGTCCTTCCAAAGCTTCCCGTAAAGTTCTGGCGGCGTGAGAGACAAAGCGCGGTCGCAAAGCCTTCTGAGAGTTAGCAGGTAGGGTAGCAGAAAGCTGCATCCAACTCGTTCTTCGATCTTTGCGACCCAGACTTTTTTTTTTTTTTTTTTTTTTTTTGCCGGAGGCTACTTTTCTCCGACAGATAAGGCTTATCGCTGGTGGCCGAGCGGGGCGGGGGTGTACCCCCCTGCTTCACCTCACCTCAGCAAATGCGAGGAGCGCTAGACTACCTGTGGGAAAGGGTGCGCTTCGCGCCAGGAGACCGAGCGGGCTGCACCTGGGGGGAAAGAAAGTTTGTGGATCGCAGCAGCTTGCAGCCCACTTCCGTTCATTGTGCGTGCTGTCATTGCTACCTACCTGCGTACAAGATGCAATGGCAAGATTCTATTCGACTGTACGGAACCCTTGGTGTTCCTTCGCATTGTGAGTGCTCCAGTAACTGGTTCTTTACAGACCTATGGCGGTTCAGGGGGAGCATTTAGGAGCTGTGAGGATCGCAATGTCAAGTCATGGCACATGCCAGTCAGTACTGTGGGTGTGGGCAGGGTACGTCAGAACAGGCTGTAGTGCACAAAATGAGTATCCATCCCCCTTCAGGCTCACGCGGCCAAAGACGCGACCCATGCGTCCCTTGCAATATCGTGAACCCAGGCTCTGCTGTTCGGTGTGCGTTCCGTTACAAGGAGGCGTAGGAGCAAGCGGTAGCGCCGTGCAACGATCGATGTCTTCGACCCCCCATCTCACATCAGGAAGCATACGGAGAGCGACCCCAAGGCATTAAGATGGATTCATTCAACTACGTAAGCATGGCAGAGCGATCGTCAGAAACGTCAAATCCCAGACAGGCCGCACTGAGCCGTATAACGGACAAAAAAGGAAAGGCCGAGACTGTACTCCGTCCCCTCGGAAATCATAAAAAGACTCGTTGGATTCCTAGTCATTCCTCGATGCAACAACCCCTCCTTGACCAAGTGACATACAGATTCCGGGGCATATAAGAGACGCCATGATATCGACCGTAGCAGCCCTCCGAAAGGCCGTGAAGAAGGAAGTTTCCAGGGGTGGGGGGCAAGATGCCTAACAGCACTTGCCGCTCTTCTCTGCGCTGTCATCCGCGGGCTTGCTGAGTGCGATGCTGGGACCGGTTCCGATCGAGGCCTGGGCGCCGTCGCCCGAGTCGAGGGCTTTGCTCGAAACGATTCGGTAAATTTCTATAGGAAGAAAGGAGCCATGTCAGAACGCGGGTCAATTCAGGGGGTGGGTGTTTTGTAGTTCATTTGCGTGGGTGGGGGCAAAGCAACGCACCGGTCAAGATGTTCTGGAATGCGAGCTCAACGTTGCTGGCATCGAGGGCAGACGTCTCAATGAAGGAGAGGTGGTTCTCGCCTAAGACTCATGTCAGCCAACCAGGGGTTCACGATGCGTTTCTTGGTCGTTCACCGCAACGTACTGGCAAAGGACTTAGCCTCCTCTGTGGGCACGGCTCGCAGGTGCCGCAAATCGCTCTTGTTTCCGACAAGCATGATGACGATGTTTGCGTCGGCGTGATCCCGCAGCTCCTTCAGCCATCGCGTGACGTTCTCGTATGTCTGGTGCTTGCTGATGTCGTAGACAAGGAGGGCGCCGACAGCTCCTCTGTAGTAGGCGGAGGTAATGGCGCGGTATCGCTCCTGGCCGGCGGTATCCCAAATCTGTGCCTTGATCGTCTTGGAGTCGACTTGAATGGATCTGGTAGCGAACTCGACGCCGATTGTCGATTTGGAGTCTAGGTTGAACTCATTGCGGGTGAATCGACTGAGAAGGTTGGACTTTCCGACGCCGGAGTCTCCAATCAAGACCACTAGAAGGGGTGAAATGTCAGCTTGCTACTCGGAGGCGTCGTGGCCATTTCGCGATAGGATCGGGAGGTCGTGTGGTCATCGGCGCACCTTTGAAGAGGAACTGCGAAGGCGACAGGTTAGCGCAAGGAGGGGGAAGAGAGTTAGAGGGAGAGAGGGGTGAGTGGCAGTCCAAGGGGTCCAAGGGGACAATGGGCGATTACGGATGGCGGAACTCACGTCATATTCGTCGTTGGCCATGTTGACGGTTTGGATGCGATGTGGTGGACGAGTGCTGGAGATGTAGAATAGTTGGTAATGCGAAACCAGGACTCTGCGGCTCGATGGAGGTGTGCGCGGCCTCCAGAGATAAAGCAGTTGAGTTGAGGCGAAGGCAAGGTGTACGGGCCTAGAACTGAACCAGAACAGAACACTAGAGAGTAGGTACCTAGAAAAGGTGGACTGTGCAGGTTGGTCTAGGTGCAGGTGCAGGTGCAGGTGTAGGTAGGAGCGTGGAGGTGAGGCAGCAAAGGTTGCTGGATGATGGTGTCGGCGCAGCAGCTTTGGGTCACTGGGATTGGCTGGGGCTGGGTACTGGAGGTGGTCAGCCACTAAAGGGAAAGTTGGGCAAAGGGGGAAAGGGACGGGGCAGCGCTGAAAAGGGCTGCGGTGTCCACCAAGGCATGGAGCAGACGGAACACCAGGGCGCTCGAGGAATCAGGGAGGCTGCTGTAGCACAAAAGCACCTTTGTGAGACGGAAGAAGGTATCTAAGCGAAGCAATGGGATATAATGTATCTTCAGGCTTACAAGTCCCTCAAATAGACTGACCGGGGGAGAAGAAAGACGAACAGTGGCGATGTTTACCCAGGTATTTCAAAGAGAACAAGGCATTGCAGGTGACGTTGTCAACATCGTCAATGAGGAGCTCCCTGCGTACCTACCTACCTATGTAGAATCATGCCCGGGCTGTGGAGATGGGGACTGGCCAGGAAGAAAGGTCACTCCATCTCTTTGCACGACGACGACCTTCCTAGCTACCATGCCTTCCATCCGCACGTAGGTGCCTATTCAGATTCCCTTGTGCTTTGCCTGCCTTCATCAGCGTCGAAGGGGGATCCTCCACGTTCCGGAAAGACAACAACCCGCTGAGCCACACCACCGCAGAACATGCACCAACCACCAGCCGTCATCTGTCTGTTTCTCCCTCTCCGTCCCGTCTGGCTGCCTAAGAACTTGCGAAAGGTATCTGAGATATGGTCAAAAGCAGTGTCCATGATGGGATTCCGCCGTCGGTATCCGGAAGTGTCGCGTTTCATATCCAGGATCACGTGTGCCGAACCCGTGGCCCGATCTGAGAAACGTCTTCCTTGCCCGCACCGGAGCTTGGTGTGCTTACTTCAATGCTTCGCATCACATCTCACACTCTGACGTCTTCTATGAGGTAAGACGAGAAACGTAGGCAAGGCGGCAATGCTCTGATAGCGCCAGATGACCTTCGTAGAGCCACAAACCTGGTTGGGCGACTGAGGTGATGCTCTTCTATTCGAATGCCGAACTATTTCGCAAATAGGTCGTCTCTACCTATAAGCTTGCTTCCCCGCATGTTCGCGAGCTGGGATAGAAACAGACTCGTTTCCGTCGATATGCCCGCAAGTGATCATCAAAAGAGCCGGGAGACTCGGATTACTCAAATAATATGGGTGAGGTCCCCTGTTTTGACTGCTTTCTCATGCTCCAAAACATGCCATGATGCTTGCATGCCACTGCCTACCTGTCTGTCCTTGGTAAGTAATTGCCACTGAGACAAGAAAAAAAAAGAAAAAAAAACAGCCGGCGTTGAAAAGAATATGTCGGTCAGACCAGGAACTTGAGTTCAAACAACTTTAAAGTTCTGTACGTCAATGAGGTAGCACGATCCGTCGAGCTCTTATTCGTATAAGTAACTAGCTACCGAGTAGCATGGGGAAGATTGCGCTTTCCCGTTAAGATGGCACTTGTCAGGCCCCTCCTTCTTCCTTGGGCCCCATCAGACCTGGCGACAGAAAGCACGGGCCAAAAGCCTCTGTGCCTATCGTCCCTGCCTCATCTCAATAACCGACATCCTCACTCAGATAATTACGGCTCAACGCGAGATACCTTGGACTTCAAGGGCTGCTCTCATCAGCACCCGTTTGTTTATTTCTCCGGACTCGCACACATATCCAACCTCACTCATTTAAATAATCAACCCCACGACGAACGATACCCGCCGGTAAGTGAACGATTTGTGACGGCTCATCCGGTGACATTTCCGGGGCAGTCTCATCGACGTTTCCTTTTTCCTGCGCGATGAAGAGAAATCACAAAGTCTAACACACCCCCAGAACTCCTGCTGTCAACTTTTCCATCTTTTCGCCACACTGCATCTGTTTAACCGTCTTTTCTCATTGGGATCCTCGATTTTCAGGCCTCTCCATCACACTCATTGCGCTATTCTCAACAAACGAGGTCCTGCAAGTCTGTCAACTCAGCTTGCATTACGCACGTGTGCCAACGCAACCATCCACGCGACCAAAGCGCTTTTTATCTTCCGAAGATGCGATGAATTCCGTGCCCTGAATTCGCAATGGGTACTCCGGGCTTGTTTGTGAACGAGGCCTCCCCTCGACCGCAGAGTAGCCCCATCAAGCAAGACGACGAAGACGACGACGACATCTCCGTCACGTCCTCATTAGAATCACAACATGATTCGGACGAGGAATGGTCGGTGGAACAGATTCTCTACCAAACGACTGAGGATGGTAAAGAATATTATTTAGTAGAATGGACAGGATATCCTCTTGAGAGAGCTACGTGGGAGCCGCCTGAAAACGCGTCAAGCATTTTGCTGGACGAGTGGAAAGCGACACAAGAAAAACAAAGACGTGGCGACGAGCCAGAGTTCGACATCAAGGGCTGGTACGAGCTTTGTGAGGACTTCCAGAGGAATCGTTTCGACCGGCATCAAGAACGCAATCGCCTACGCATTCGGCGCGGCCTACGGCCTACTCTATGGGAAGGGGAATCCAAAGAGGACTACTACTCCAGCGATGACGATGTCAGTCAAGACGATTTCAACGACATTCTCCCTCCTCCGAAAACATCAAAACGGCAGATCGATCAAGCTCTCCCTTCGATCGAGGACCGGCCCAAACAGTCGCTAAAGCAAGCAGCTGAGAGAAATGCATCCCTTCCTCGCAAACGGGCCTCATCAGGAGAAAAGTCAAAGTCACCGACCAAACAGAAGTCGCCCGCATTGGCGTCGCAACGTCCGCCGACAGCATCCGCTGTATCAAAACCGACTGGGTATCAAGGCACTGCAAGGAAACCCACAGTGACAAGAGTTTCCAGTACCAAGTCAACCGGAAGCCTCACAACCCTCGCTTCAAAATTCTCGAAGCCTGCCAAGACGGCCAAAAAGACTCAACCGGGCGCGAGAACGATGGTGAAGGCCGCAGGCAATATCTTCACAAGCGGGAAGCCCATTCGCGTGCGATCCCGATTGAGTGATAATGCGGCCGACACGAATCAGTCCCCCCGCGCCTTCACCAACCACCGTATCAGAAGGAAAGCTGAATTGCAAGGACGGGACAAGGCTGATCAAGCGCCGCCTATCATTCCGTCTACGCTATTCAGCATCAGCGGCGGTCCTCCACCTCAGTCCAACACCAGCAACGCAATCGCCAAGCCTAAATCAGTGTTGAAGCGCCCAGCTGACGACCTTGCCCCCAGGTCTGCGAGTGAGTCGAGCATCACGGCATCGGAAGCGGTTCCCTCAACTTCAGAGCAGTCGCAGCCATCGCGTCCGCCAGCGAAGAAGAGGAAATCTGTTCAGTGGGACCCTCAAATCCCATTTACTGATGAGCCTGAGGACATGGACGTTAATAGTTCTTCAACTAGCCGACCAAAACGGCTCAAGTCTCCCCCTCAACCAACCATATCTCATCAACCCCAGCCTCTCGAGCCTCAACAAGTGCAGCCTACTCTAAAGAAGCTGTCTATCGCGGACTATCAAAACAGAGGGAAAACGTTTATGCACAGCTTGGACAAGAACATTGAGATGGGACCAAGAGGAAGCAAACAAATTCAGGTGACCTTCGATAATCTCCGCATCGACCCTGAGAAATGGTACTCTGAAGTGGAGGCACAAGACATCCTGCACTTCTCCACCACCTTCCACGTTCGCATATTTGTTGCACAACGCCCAGTTCTCTTTGAGCGAGTTTTATCTCAGGGAGCTGTGAACGCAATATCGTCCGAAGGGGAAGGCGCGATCAAAAGCGCTGCTGAAAAACTTAAAGTGGGATCTTTCGGGGCCGCATGCCTACATGAGGATTTTTCCATCATTGTTTATCCTGCGAGCTGTGACGAATGGAAGTCTGCCATGAAAGAGGTCGATGATCTGAACTACGAATCAAGCCCGTCTGACGTCGCCCTCAGGTATCTCATATACAAACCACATCACAAACCTATCCCGGAACAGAGGCCCATTGCGTCGAGCTTGACAGACAAGCGCGCGTCAATTCTACAAACCCTGCTTGGCCTCGACTACCATCGGCTCATGCCGACTGGCTTGAAGGACGTACGCCATAACTTCTATTTGGCATTTCCCCCATCCAGAGAAGCAATGCTCGATACTGTCAGCGAGTGGCTTCATATGGAAAATCCGCACTGCCGCGTCTTTTCGTCAAAGACATCAGGCGACTGGAGAGCCTTCATGGATCCAAAGATTGCGAACCATGGCGTTGTCATATTCCACGAAACAACCGTCGACGTGATCCATCGTTATCCCAGCATTTTGAAGCTTCTCGTCAACAAAAAGCCCGCTCACACATTCTGGTGCCTCGGCGAGTCTCTTCGACTGCGTCCAGCGTATCCGTCCATTCGTTCTGCACACGACATAACCGAGGTCGGTGCGATTGAACTGACAAGACTGTTTCCGCACGGTAGCGCGATCCTCGTCACCCCGAGCTTCCTCGTCGCTGAGCCGCAGCGTGCCTTGCAACTCTTTGACTGGTACAAGAAGACACATGCAAAGCCTAGTGCCAATACGAAGATCGTGGCAGCCGCAAGTCTATCCAAGTTTCTTCAAGGTATTGCGTTGGACAGGGCGGACCAGATGAGGAGCATGCTAGCCGGAGGCAGTACACAAGACGCCGTAGAGAGAGCAGGACTTGGCTATGATGATTGTATGGCTCGCTTTGAGACCTGGACAGCGGTCGAAAGTTTCCGGCAATCTTTCATGGAAAGCATTGAGGCTGACGAACAGCTCGAGCCGATCATTTTTGCTCCAGAATGTATCGACGCCAACGACGAGCAAAGCTTGGTGAACTGGTTCGGCTGTTGGTCACAGACTCGATACGACCAGTTCCGGAAATTCTTCGTGCTCGGGACTGACCGCCGCCTCGAAGCCCGACACAGCATCAAATACGAAGATCTCCCTCTTTACTCTCCCGGAACAGATCACGATCTGGCTGCTGAGGGTGAGCCAAACCCAGCAGCACAACCTGGAGATGGCCCTAGCAGCGTGGACCGTTTACTGCCCATGGGGACTACAAGACTGGCCTCTTGGGACCCTCGCTCGATAACCCCATTTCTAATGGATCTTTCGAAGCGCATGGGCAATACTAGGACCGGCAAACCCCCGAAGATCATCGCCAAAGCTTACGGCTTCACGGTCGGCTATTACCAAGATGTCGAGGCAACGGCCGACTCTTTCAGGGACTTCTACCGAGAGTTGAAAACATACAAGCAGTGGCTCGAGTTTCCGTGGCCGTTCTACTCCAAGATGATTCCAGTTCACGCGCCCAAACACACACCCGAGCTTAATGCACCAAAGCTGTTCAACACCTACATTTCACTGTTCTATACTCCTCAGGGACAGGTGGCAGAACATAAGTGGGAGGGTCGACATCCCTGGATCGCAGTTTATCGACCAGAGCACCCAACCATCAGACCTTGGGAAGGTTCGGAAATTGTTATTTGGGATGTTTCGGCCAGGATCAATTTCCCAACTGAAAGCCAAATACCAGTTTCTCGACTGAATCACGCTCAGAAACACTTGATTGAATTTGTAGAGGAGCATGGCAGACTCAACAATCCAGATCTCCCGCTTACCAGAGTCTGGCTTGGGGGTGAACAACCGTCTGGAGACATTCTCCCACTCGACGCGACTCTAGATGCCTTGGAGACCATGTGCATGAATCCCGACCAAGCCACGATGCCTGAGGAGAAAGACTTGATAGAGAATGGTTTCCGTCCGGTTGTGTTGCGGGCTCAGAATGATGCACAAACCCACACCGGTTCCCCCAGCGACATGGAACTGGACCCGACTGAAGATCTGTTTGCCGAGGAAGATGACCCCAAAAGCAAGACCATCTTTCATCCGCCTCGTAGCCCGAGGCCGATTCGAGCGAGTCGTTGCGAGAACCTGCTGTTCAAATGGGTCAAGGACGTAGCAAGGCGAGACTCATCACGGTCGGTATTCTCGTACACGTTCACGCCAACCGTGGAGTGGTACGAGAGACAGCAACTAGCGGAGAATCGCAACTTCGAGCACATCTACGTTGGCTCATGGAAGAATATCTTTGACTGGTTGCGAATCCCCGAGGAAACTACGTACAAACGCATTCAGGACAGAAAGGAGACATCAGAGGATGGTAGGAGGTGATAGGATGAATCCGGCAGAAAGGGATCATGGGGGTTTGGGAACGCGCGCAACGAGGCGTGTAACTCTTGCCTCACACGGAAACGGAACATGGTTTTGTAAGAATATTGTATCTGAACACCTATGGACAATGTCCACACAGCTGAGATAGCTACATTGCACAGAGCCATTAGGGCTCCTGAATCGAGACAAAGTTGGCATAACAAATGGGCATAAAATTAGAAAGTTGCGCCAGAGCCAACCCATGACATATTACAGAGCAGAACACAACTAATCATACTACGGCACTCAGCGGCTCTCTTTCCAGCGTTTGTTCGAGTGTATGAGGTCCCCCTTAGTGGCTGACGAGTGACGACGCTTCATTCACATGCCAGCCCTATCATATTGCTCGCCACTCCACATACATACGGATAAATACCGCGCTTTCATCTCCGTCTTTGAAAATGTAGGATTACTCCCTACCTGACGGAGGCGGGGAAGTTCCTTGTACTGAGCAACACACCCTTGATACGTCGGATGTTGTCCTTGGCCTTTTTGGTCTCGTCATCAGGCTCATTGGAGCGGAAGCCGTAAAGACCGCCCGTGAACTCCTTGGGTGCTGGATACGCCAGCTGCATAAGATCATCCTTGAGCAAGTCCATCTCAGACTTGACGTGCGCGAGATCCTCCGCTTCGGCGATGCACTTATCTTTGATCTCTGTCGCGTGTTGCGCAAGGCTCTTCACCTTGGCGTCGGCGGTAGCATTGTTCCCTTGTCCAGCTAAACTGGTGCCCCATCGTCCATTCTTCTGGTCCATGTAGGAGCCTAGTGGTGGCGTCGGGGGGTTGGACGTCTGGGTGCCGATGTCGCGGTGGAACATTTCTGAAGGATCCTCAACGTCCGGGTCGCTGCTTGTGCCGTCGTCCTTTGGTGCCTCGGCGCCGGTCTTCTTGGGGGCGGGAATCTCGGAGACGGTGCTTTCGAGTTTCTCGATAATGGCCGACAGCTTCTTGTTGGTTGCGTCGTGGAGCTCTGTACGGGCTTCGTTGAGGTTCTCGACCATAGGGGCAACGAGGAACTTGCTTGTGCCGTATAGAAGGGTTGAAATGCCGGCAAAGGCGTAGAGAGTGTTCAAGATGCCATTTGCTGTGACTAGTGGTGGTGGGCGGGTTGGTTTGGTGAGGAATTCGGGGTATGTAACAACGGGGGGATTATCGTTTGTTCTTGGAAGAGAGATCTCGTTTTGTGTGGAAGAGGGAGCGGGAGTAGGCGCGTGCGGTTCGGGTGTTGGGATCGTTGCTGGCTCGGCTTCAACGGGTTCTGTTCGCGCAGTCTGGGCATGTTAGTCGCGATGCGACGGGCAAGGAGTGAAAAGCGAGGTTTACCTGTTGCGCTGGTTCTGGTGCTGAACCGCTGCCCAGTAGCTCCTCTATCTCTGCAGGCTCCAGCCCCTTGCCCCTGAGAAACTCTTCCTTCTTTTCTCTTGGTGCGTCCTTTATTTCGTCGTCCTGAAGGAAGCGCCGCGCGACCTCGAGCTTGTCATCGGTAGGGGTATCCTCTTGGGATTGTTGCGATGCAGGCTCAGACTCAACATCCAGCTGGGGCTCGCTCTGTTGTTGTTCGCGCTGCCAGGCAGGAATGCCTGACGAGCTGCCGCTGTCATCAGAGTCGCTCATGTTCGATGATCCTACAAGCTCAGCGGAAGTAAGGAATTGCTAACGTTGGGGACGGCGCGAGGTCAATCACCGGAAAGCAGCCGGTCTGATTCTCCGTAGGTGGTGAATAACATCGGCGTTCGGGACCTATGACCACATGCCTCGGCTGGGAGTACCGCGAAAACGGAGAGGTTGGTACAAGGAAACGTTCATTACGGGCACCTGTAGCCGAGCAAAACGCGGCCCAGGAGTCCGTCTGGCTTGTTACGGCGGGACACCGTTAAGCTGCAGCGCGTCTGGGGTGGCGGGATGTGGGGCATCACTATGCACGGTGCCCATGGTGTCCACACATTACGGGTCTCCGTTTTCAACTTCCGGTGCTCCAGCGGACTTCAGCGCCTGTTGCAGAGTGAAGCTTGCCTCGCGCTGAACTCAAGGTGAGCCTGGTGAAAAGCGCAATACCACGCCAGAGGGTTGGATATCGAAGCCATCTCATTCTTATCCGTCTCATCTATACAACGAGTACTCCGTTCATCGTTCGAGGTATCTATTGTTTCAGCAACCCAGGACATCACCCGATTTGGTCGCTCTCCTGTCACCGACGATCTCTGGCCATTCCGCTCGACGCTTTGCTTCACCGACCGAGCGATTGGCAGACCCAGCAACCAATTACAGCCACGGTCAATCAAGGTAAGCTCTCATCTGCTGCGTTACAACCCTTCGAAAGAGGACCTGCAGCGAGTGGATTCGCTAAAGGGGACAGATTCTCGAAGCGCGCAAGACATTGAGGCGTTGAGAGGGAGAGAAAAACGCAGAGTAGCGACGCGGAAGGCGACACGAGATCCAATAGCCAGAAAGTCTCAGTTCAGGGGGTCCTGTTTTCTGCCCATCTTGGCTTGGTTCACAGCCACCGCTTCTTACTTTACTGCTCTGTACCTTGCCTTGTCGTGCTTGGGGTCCTGCTCCGAGAGGCGATAGGCCACCAAAGGGGAAGAAGGGCGAATTATCCCACTTGCCGCTGCGCGTATTCTGCGGCTAGCCGTCGTCTATCATCTATCCCGGGAAGGAGTATCAACAATCGGTAAGCCATCATCTCTATCGCAATTGCGACATTTGTTTCGACTTGAGCCTTTTCTCTGCGCTGCATCTACTGTCAACACCATCTCTTCATCACATATCACATCGTTCTTGAGGCGAGTTTGCCAACTCAAGTGAGGCAAACAAACGGCAAATTACCTCGAGGCCCAAAACCAACATCTTCAAGGAGAGCAAGGTACACGCACGGCACTCTGCGCGCCAAGAATGCAACTTGATTTGATCCAGAGAGGTTGAGGGAAAGTAGCCGGCCAGCAGAAGCAAAAAAACAAGGCAAAAAAAAAAAAAAAAAAGCGCCCGCACGTGGACGGTTTAAAAAAAGGTGTAAACTTACCGCAAGTCGCACGCTTTAATAACTTCCATGCATCTCGGCCTGCCACTGTTACCGCTGCTACGGACGTTGCCTTACCTCATCTCCCGTATCTAGGGGATCAGATTCCTAGCAGCAGTGCCACCTCACCTTTAACCCTTCCTTGTCTGGACTTCCGCCCCCCGAGCTTACCTTATTTCAACCTCCCACGTTCGCAATCTTGGGAAAATCCCCCACCGATCGTCCCAAAAACACAACCGTTGCATGCCTACCCCCAAAATCCTTTCTCCCTCACACACTTCACCCAGCCCGCAAGCGCAACAACACTCACATTGAGCCACATCCCCCGGTGCCAAGCAATCCGCAAACGCGCTTCATATATCCTTGACCATCACACACAATGGCTTCTCGACCGCGCCGCTCAGCGGCCAAGAAGGCTTCCGAAGCACTCGTTGACTGGGCCGACAGCGAACGAAGCAGCAATATGTCCACCCGCGCTCGCCGCTCAGAGGGTCGCACCTCCGGTGTGTCTCGCGGCCCGCCCTCATCGCCGGGCAGTGAGCACCTCAACCTTACCGTCAAAGTTCCCGCGAATAAGCTACGTGAGGCAACCAGCAGAGGCAGGAATTCCACCGGAAATAGCATTTCTGTAAACAGCCGGGGCTCGTTTGGAGGCAGCGAGATCATTGCTGGAAAACGCAACCGTGGTCCCAAGAAGAGCTACGTTGTTGAGTCCGACAGTGAGGAGGAAGAGGATGAGGACGAGGAGATGGAGGACCCTAACGATGAGGACGCTGATGGCGATGAGGACGACATGGATGTCGACGCCGAGGGCGAAGACGATGCCGATGGCGACGCTGACATGGACACCCCTGCGGCTTCCACGATCAAAATCTCATTGCCGAAAGCTGGTAAGGTTACGCCTCGGCGACCGGCGGCGGCGAGAGTCATCGAGGATGACGACGACGATGAGGAGGAGTTGAGTGAGATTGAAGTCAGTGATCCGGAGAACACGATGGACATGAGCATCGACGTTGGAGGCGCCGGCGATGACGACGATGAGGAGGACGAAGAAGACGAAGAGGAAGACGCTGAGGGCGAAGAAGATGACGCTGAGGGTGAGGAAGAAGATGCCGAAGGTGAAGAGGAGGAGATTGAAGTTGCCGACGAAACTCAGGTCGCAGATGCCGAGGGTGAGGAAGACAGTGAACTTGGCAGCCGAGAGGGAACACCGGACTTGACTAAGATGACGAGGAGACAACGTGCTCGTTTCGAGGAAGAGCCTCAGCAGTATATGAAGCTCTCGGATGGTAATTAACATGCCTACTGACGAGATCGAGGAGACGTGCTAACTGTGTAACAGAGGTTCAAGCAAAGAAGGTCTTCACAGCGGAGGAGCTTTCCATGAGAAGAGCAGAAATGGCTCGTCGTCGACGCAACTTGTCTGAGAAGCGCAACGAAGAAGTCAAGGTAACATGCTTATTGAAACGGTAGTTAAGGGCTAGAGCTAACGCGAGCATAGATGGAAACCATCAACAAGCTTCTAAAGAAGCAGGCACCCAAGACCAAGGGCAAGGGCCAGGCCGCTGGCAACGATACTCCCAGCAACGAGCCCCCAAAGGCAGATGTCGCTTTCGTCCGCTGGGTCAACTCCAAGAAGGGCAGCATCGTTGCCGTGCCGGAGGAGATGATCGGCGGACCGGCGGGCAAGGTGTTTGTTCCCGGAGGACTCAAGTCCGGAAAGATGGTCGAGGAAGTCGCCTAGGACGATGGCCCGCGCCAGTCTTCACGACTTAGAGAAAACTCATCATGAAAAGACGGAGCACTTGTATCCGATAACAACGGCGTTGGGCGAAGACTAGTATCGTACGCAGCATATAGGTAGATCAGCAGAAGCTGGTAATCGTTCTTAGGTCTCTAGACAGAATCGGTTAATTGGCATAAATCTGCGTCGGCCATCATCCGTCCCGCATGTCCATCCGGCACGCGCAAGTCGCAAAGTAAATCGCTCACGTGGTTGATTGCGACAGTTGCTTCACTAACGAGTATCCACAGGTCGGTGCCTGAGAACCTCGGAGATGGCCGTCGGCTTTTGGATTCAATGCCCTTTCGACTGATGATGGCTGTGGGGTGACGTGACAGTGTCGGCCGAGATATCTTATGTAATCAACATATCGGGGCACATAGGCACTGTAGCAAGATTGCAACACACCAAGGACCCTGCATTGCCAATTGGAGGACAAGTCATGTGGTGCCCGGACGGGCCTGTCACTCGCAGGAGCTTGTTTATTTCTGTTCTCCGCAATTGCTCTGGCCTTCGATCGGAAACATAATTTCATCTGCTATTGCTGCTGCTGCTGGTTGTATTGGTGGTGGTGGGCACCCTACCGGTGGCAGCCAAGCCCGCGACGGATGCCTTTGCAATGACGGTGACGATCATTCTCCCAGTCTGGTCCCAAATTACAGAGAGCGTTGCTGTGCAGGACCATGCCACCGGCTGTCCCTCGTTGGTCTGCTTGTCATCATTTTGTCGTGGGTTGTATCTCGCCTGCGGGATCGTGGGTGTTGAGCACCGATATGTGGGAGTGGTGCGATGCCGGCACAGTCGAGCATAGATTGAGTAGGCGACGAGAAGATCTCGGACACGCAAGCTGGGGTAAAAGACGGGCGCTCCACGCCGTTATCGCATGGTTGTGGGAAACCACTCAGCCCAACTCCGTATTGGTAATCAATCCGTCGAGAGCGTCATGTTCCCCTTCTCGTGGTCAGCATGGATGGATTCCGAGGATAGGTATCCAGGTGTATAATTCGTGATCGTGGTGGTGAGATTGGTACTTTGTGCTGAGTACAGTTCGTCCCTACTGCCTACTGGACCAAACACGCTCCATCCACGCATCCTTCAAGCCCCCAGGGCCAGCCGTCCAACCAAAAACCCCGGATCTGCACCCTGCAAGAAGCCGGGCGGGGGGAGCCTAATGGTTGGCAGCCGTGGCAGCATGTGAGGTTGGCTGGCAAAGCAGGTGAGAAGGGGACCTTGCTGCAGCTCGCCGGGAATATCGACACCGGAGGCGCCAACACTCTTCTTGGAGTCTAGCCCGCGAGACTATGTTGTTCCCTCCTTTGGATCTGTCACTGGCAAGCCGAGCAGTGGTCTAGACGGATTGGGACTGCGTTAGGGCGGTTTGCCCATTGTCTGTGCTAAGCAAGTGACAGGCGACGGCGACGACAGACAGGATTCCTTCACCTGGGCGTCGTCAGGTACCGAAGGATCTGAAGCACTTCCTACAAGACTCCGAGCGCGGCAGGCTGAGCTGTCGTGGCCATGGTCATGGAGTCTTCGATACGTCTTGGCTGGAGTCCGATCACGAGAGAGGAGCGCAGTCAGTCACTTGCAAGGGCAAAGTTTTTGCAGACATGGCATGTCTCGTGGACGGGAGCGTTGCCCATCTCTCCCCACTTTGCCCTCGTGCGCTCTCCAGTTGTCTCCAGTGTTCCCCGTCCGCTACCCGACCTTAACTCGGAGAGGGCCTGGGCTCAAAAGAAGAGTCACGGAAAGACAGAGACACCAGGGGCCACAGACTGCCGCACTTCCTTGGCCTGACAATTCAACACTTCGGATTGCTTCCTGGTTACGAATACTTTAAACCTGCTAAGCCTCGGGTTCCCTCTATGGCGAACCTTAAACCGCGAGAGGGTAACCGACCCCCCCTCCAGAATGTTCTGATACTTGATACTTTGAAGGTGCGCAATGGCAGGGCAGAGCGGGCTCAGCAGCGGGGACACCTCTGCTTCTCATCTCACCGGCTCAGACAGCCGCCACAGAGGCGCATCCGACGTTTTAGTGATGGAACCCTGTGCCCGCCCCGAAGAAAAAATGGCCCTCACGAACTGGGGTGCCAGGTGGTTTGTGCTTGCCAATTGGGCAGCCTTTTAGTTTCTTCTAGTTTTGTGAGAGGAAGGAGGGAAAAAAAAGTGAGCACGAGCAATATCGGCCAAAACCATGGCGTCTGCATCGCCAGTTGAAGCGTCAATGGCTCAAGCAGCAGTAACAGCAAAAACAGCACCAACAGCAGAAGCCACGGCAGATCCTTCAGCTGTTGCATCCATGTCCAGGTCCGGCCAAGATGCTGCGTCTGCCCCCGGCGGCGACAAGGCCAACGCCAACGCCAACGACACCGCTTCTCGTACATCAGATCAAGGTAGGTAGGTGAGAGACACCACACCGGGCACAGGGCCGCTAGCCTCAGGTCGCTTTGTCGCTTTTGCCTTCCCTCCCCTCCCCCCGGGCTGCTTCCTTTTGTTCTCATGTATGCGGCCTTTCTCCCTCTTGTTCTGCATCCACCCGCATTCTCCTTCCCCATATACCTACCTACAGACGGGCACCCGACGCAAAGAAGAACCTACCTTCAGGGAAAACAGACGGGAGGTGGACGACGACGACGGGACGCAGAAGTCAAGGTTCTGGACCGGGCTTGGCTTCCTTGCCATACGCCCGCCATAACACACGCAACACACACGCACACAAAACGTACACTACCTACCTTACCTTACCTTACCTTACCTACCTACTACCTTGCTTCCCCAACAGCCATTTGCCTTACACGATGCCTGAGAGTGGCACGCACTTCGCATCCCCCCTCTTGACTGTCTCGCTTTCCGCTCCTGTTTCTTCCCCTCGCCTTGCTTTTCTCTTCTTATTCATCCGATGCCCCAGACTTTCAATGCATGATTTCTAGGTGCACAACACATACTTCACTGCACAAACATCGACCAGGCCTATTTATTCTACATATGACGGAATTATAAACTGACCAAATCCAGCCCCCTTGGCAGCCACCATCAGGCCACCCGCGGCCGCGGCCACCACCCCAGAAACCGGCGCGCTCCATCACCCGCACCACCAGCCCACCCCGCACGCGACTGCGACGGAGACCGCTGCTACTCCAGACCCAGCTGCCACTACTCCAGCTGCGGTAACTATTACTACATCCCCGGTCACGGCTGCTGGACCGGGAGCTTCACTTGCGCATCCCGATATAATACAGCAGACGCCCTGCTCCCAGCCAAATCTGTCGCCTCCCATGCCTACTTCTTTCTCCCCCCCTCCATCCTCCTCTCTTGCTGCGCCTGAGGCCAACACCCAGCCAAAGAGCCAGCCACAGCACACCACCGCTGCCTCTTCATCTTCCACCACCAAGATGATCTTCTCAGACATTTACAAGTCCCCACGCTCGCCTCTCGCCAAGTTCAGGCACTCCATGTCCCAGCAGCCCTTGACGCTGGACTTGCCCGACTATGACCCAGACCTCCTGAGCAAGGATAAGGTCAAGCAGAAGGAGGCAGTTAAGAAGTACCTTGCCTCCAAGATCCGCAACGACTGGGAGTTTGTCTGGCCACCAGTCATCCCACCTCAAAAACAGAACGGCGATGGTGAGGCTGCACCAAAACCGACGCCAGCGCCAGCAACCGAGGCTGATGCGCCCGTACAAGCACCCGTAGAACAGACTCAAGACACCGCCGAGCCCAAGCCCGAAGCGACGCAGACGGCGACGAATGACGACGATGTGGCAGTCGAAAGCATGGACAGCAGTGACGACGACGACGAGGAAGGGGGTTTCTCAGACAGCGATGCCGAGTCCGTCTACAGCACCGTCTCAGAAGACCCGGCACGCTTCAAGCCTCGTCTGGAATGGGTGTCTGACCTCTCCGACGAGGAACCCGTCCCACTGTCTCTCTCCCCGTTCCGCTTCGACAGCCCCGATGCGATCGGCGCCGCGGTGAAAGCCTCCGTCGCCGAGAAGCGTGCGGCGCGGAGGCGGGCACTGCGCGAAGAAATGCAGTGGAATGAAGGGCTGGCCTGCTTCGAGGCGAGGCGCAATGCCTGGACAGGCGCACGTACGGTGCGCGTTCGCGCCAAACCCGTTTCTCCCACGCAGACATTCTCGCCGCTGTCGCCCCGCCGCCTCTTCTTCCGCTCCTCAATGTCCCAGCCTTCGCCAGCATCTTTGGGTGCGTCTCCATCGTCGCCGCCTCATTCTCTGCAGCAGCGACCGAGCAACGATGCTTCGGCCGTTGTGTCGGATGGCTCCGAGCTCACCAAAGAGCTCACTGCGTCAAAGTCTAAGGAGTCCGCACGGTCAGCGGCATCGGCCGCGGCTGTGACGTACCCCGTCGAGACCCTGATTCCTCTACCCGCGCCCCTGCTTCCTCCCGGAAACCCAATGCGTGCATCCATCACTCCTTCAGTGTACATCTCATTGTACGAGAAGGTGATTGTACATGCCCTGACGCCCTCATGCCCCGTCAACTTGTCAGACATGATTAGAGCCTGTGTCGTAGGCTGGAAGCGAGACGGTGAGTGGCCTCCGAAGCCGGCTGCCGACGTTGGCATCGTCGCGGTGCGGCGGAGGAAGAAGTCCGCCACAGAGGGTTCAGGGCAGAACGCCGTTCGTAGAATGAGCTTTGGCTTCCTGGGCAGGGCAGAAAAGACAGAAGGTCATGACGAGGCTGGAACCGGCAAGGGCATTAGAAGAAGCCTGCAACGGGTCCTCGGTCTGGGGCAGCACCAGCCCGCCACAGGAGCGGGTAATGGGAACGGGGCGGCAAACGGAAAAGAAGCGACAGCTGCATAGGGTCAGGTCCATGATAAACATGATAATGATGGAAATAATTGGTTACAATGAGTTTGACCTGGGGCCTTGTGGCGAAAAGAGGTTCACCGGTGAACCGGAGAGACTTTGGAGAAAAGGTCTTTGGCAGGCTACG